AATCCCAACAGGCTTTGTAGTGGAACTGGACTGACGGGAGCTGGCTTGGAAACATATATGACAATGCAAAAGCATCAACAATGGCCAAGACTCTCTTGGAGGAAAGGAGGAAGACAGGAGGGTTGCCCTACCTGTTGCCACAATAGACTATAGAGTTCTAGTACATAGGCTCGTGTGGCATTTACTCAGGGACACTCAGAGCAGGGAGAAAAATGGGAGGTCAGGATCAGATTGCATGGATGGACCTGATTTTTGAGAAGCAGCAATTCTGAACAGTGAAGACAGTGTTTTCAACAGAAAGTGTTAGGTTATGGCTATGTTTTTGTAGGATTTAATATGTGACTGTGAAACCACCTGATGTTATCTGGTGAAACCGGAGTCTAAAACCGACAGGGGAAAAGTGTGCACAAGGTCTATCAAAAATGTTCCAAATGGTGGGCCACAGTGGCTAATGCGTGAATCCCAGGCTGACACTCAAGGTCCAGGCTTGAGCTCAGGAGTTCAAGACCAGCCTCGGCAGCATAGTGAGCCCTCCTCTCTACAAAAAAAAAGTTAAAAATTAGCTGAGCATGGTGGCATGCACCTGTAATCCCAGCTACTTGGGAGACTGAGGTGGGAGGATTATTTAAGCCCAGTAGGTAAAGGCTACAGTGAGCTATGATTGCACCACTTCACTCCAGCGGGGGCAACAGAGACTGTCTCAAAAAAGAAAAAGCACAGAGATAATGATGACGGAAAGAAGCAGGTCACACAGAAGATGCGCTAAGATTCCATTTAGGGGAAGCTCAAAAACGAACAGGAAAATTAAACAATGCATGATTTAAAGCACATACATAGGTGGGGAAACAATGAAGTCAGCCAGGGTATCACAGGAGCAGCAGCTCTCTGACCTCAGAGAGGAGCAGGGAGGGACACACAGATGATTTCTCTGGTCCTGGCACTTCTCCCTTTCATAACCTGCATCACAGTTGCAGAGGCTTTAACTTGATTCTTACTCTTCAAGAATGCATAGATACGTCTTTTTATGTTTTTAATTTTGTTAGAGACAGGGTTTCACCATGTTGGCCCGACTGGTCTTGAACTCCTGACCTCGTGATCCACCTGCCTCGGCCTCCCAAAGTGCTGGGATTACAGGCATGTGCCACCACGCCTGGCCAACATGTCTCTTAAATTATTTTTAAAGTAAGTACTAAGGAAAGACAATGCAATGCATACGAACGGCATTTGCTACATGCCAAACCCAGACTAACTGCTGCGCAGGACAACTGCGGTGAATAACAGCAGTGCACAATCACCCTCATTAGATGGTGAGGCCACTTGGGCTAGAGACATGGTCTCTTGCCCAGAACCACACACTAGGAGTGGGCCAAGCAGGGCTTTCATCACCCAAGTATATCCAATTCTAAAGCCCACGCAATCCACCTCTTATGCAGCCCAACATGTCAATGGTGACAATGGGCCTGTCCCTTCACAGGACAACTGGTTATGTGAAGGTGCCCTTAGTGCTGGGCCATAGCGAAGACCAGACCCAGTCCCACTCACTGACTCACCAGGAGACACACCCAAGCTGACCTCAGGGAGTGCAGTGCATTCTCAAAACGCTATGTGAAGCTGGCGTCTGACCAAGTGGGGAACTTGATCAGACATCCAAGTTGAGAGCAGGTGATGTGGCCACCTGCAAATCATGCTGATATGCTCCTGAACAACAGGCAAGAGTGAGCACCTCGAATCCTGTTGGGAGCTTCAGGTTTGCAAACGAAACTTACCTCTCCCAATCTTTTTCTGAATATTCATTAAGTCTCTCAATTTATCTTTTATTATTATTTTTTTTAGTCAGTTTTGCTATTGCCTAGGCTGGAGTGCAGTGGCACCAACACAACTCACTGCTGCCTCCAACTCCTGGGCTCAAGTGATCCTCCTGCCTCAGCCCTCCAAGTAGCTGGAACTACAGGTGCACACCACCACACCTGGCTAATCTTTAATTTTTTTGTAAATAGAGGGTCTCACTATGTTGTCCAATCTGGTCTAAAACTCCTGGCCTCAAGTGATCCTCCTACCTCAGCCTCCCAACGTGTGAGGATTACAAGCATGAGCCACTGTACTCAGCCTGATTCATTTATTCATTGATTCATTCATTTTTGAATTTTGCTATTGCCCAGGCTGGAGTGTAATGGTGCCATCTCGGCTCACTGCAACCTCCATCCCCTGGGTTCAAGTGATTCTCCTGCCTCAGCCTCCCCAGTAGCTGGAGCCACAGGTGTGTGCCACCATGCCCGGCTAATTTTGTATTTTTAGTAGAGATGGGGTTTCATCATGTTGGCCAGGATGGTCTCAAACTCCTGACCTCATGATCCACCCACCTCAGCCTCCCAAAGTGCTGAGATTACAGGCGTGAGCCACAGCACCCAGCCTTATTCTTAACTTTTTCTATTCACTCAGTACTTACTAGTATTTACCAAGTGCCAGCTTTTGTTATAAGCTGATTCCAATTAGGATGCTTGGATTTGCCCTTATATTAGGAATGTATTTTTTTAAATGTGTTTATTGTATACAATCCTATGAAAGGAGTCCCTAAACTACTTAGGAAAGTAGAGGAAGAGGAGAAACTGGAGTTCTGTGTGGGAGTCAGAGTTTCTATTAAGCATAGAAAACAAACTGCATATGAAGACCTTGAAGCTGTGAACAGGTGAAATCTTAAGGCAAGTAGTATCTAGAGCAAGCTGCATTTCTAAGATCAGACTAACAAGGAAACTGAATAGCTTAATGAGGGAAAACCAATTCCTGCGCAGAAGGAAATGTTGAAGTGTCAGGGAAAGAAGGGAGGTGGCTCACAGGGCCAAAGCAAAAGTCATGCCTGGGAGTGAAGAAGGCTTCTCCTTCACCTGAGCAACGGCCTCACGCTGGACAAGGGCCCACGGCAGACAGAAGACTCAGTTCTGCAACCACGACTGGGGATAAGTGGCCAGGAGCAGTTGATGTGCGGCGGGGCCAGGGGAGTGAGTTGGGAAGAGGACCCGATTTTCAGGTATACAGGTTATGAAAAGGTTAAGGCTCACCAGGGAAGGCTAACCCCAGCTGAGTAGGAAGTGGGTCTGGGAGAGAAATCCCCTCTAATATTCTCTGGCTTCCACATGAATGAACCCTGACAAGGGAGACTACCTCCTCCCTAAGCTTAGAATCCAGAGACTGTAAAACTGCTCAAAGAACACTACCAAGGTCTCAAAGTTGGAGGCACTTGGCACTAGGACACAAGTCTACGGAGACACTGGGTTTGTGTGGGACCCCAGCAGGATGTGGTAGGCCTGGAGGCTGCTGTTGACATGTCTACTACAACAGGATGTTCCTCAAAGTCTTCAATGGTCAATAAACGCCAAGATTATGTTCCCCAGACACCTATACCCGGAACCGCTGACAAACGAGCTTAGTATTCCTTACTCCGGGCTCACACCTCACAAGGCTTCTCCAGCTCCCGTTGGCACTTCTGGTAAACTGTCCCTGCTTCCCACCATCCTGATTCCAGCAATCTCTTATCTGTGTTGCTAACCAATTGCAGACCCAGGAACCATAATGCTCACTGAATGTCATTCCACTTGGAGACACTGTACAGCAGATTTTCCCAACCTTGCTTATAGCCACAAGCAGGATAAGACAATGCTTGAGACTACTAGGTCCCCACAGGCTCAGCACCACTGGAGGGAGCCCCGAGAATGTGGTCACCTGTACATATTTGTTTTTTAAATCTCCAAATAAAATGTATGAATCCATGTAAATCAGTTCAGGGACCTCAAAATCTGAATTCAATCCCATCTATGGAAATGTCTTATCTTTTTGCCTTTTGAGACAGGGCCTCACTTCATCACCCAGGTTGGAGTACAGGGGCTGGATCCCAGGTCACTGCAGCCTCTACCCGATGGGCTACAGTGATTCTCCCACGTCAGCCTCCTGTGTAGCTGAGGTACTACCGGAGTATGCATCACAGCCTGCCAATTTTGTTGTGTCTTTTTGAGATGGGGTTTTGCCACGGTGACCAGGCTGGTCCTAACTCCTGAGCTCACCGTCTCCAAAGTGCTGGGAATACGGGTCAGCTAACACGCCAGCCCAGAGCATTTTTCAATAGGCAATGAAAATCGTGAAATCAGTTTAGGATGGAGCCACCGGTATTAATACATAAAAGACGACAAATATAGCCAGGCACAGCGACTCAGGCCTGTAATTCCAGGACTTTTGAGAAGCCAAGGTGGGCAGGTCACCAGGAGGCCAGGAGTTGGGGAGACCATCCTGCCAAAACCGTCTCAAAAAAAAAAAAGCTGGGCATGGTGGCATCTGCCTGTAATCTCAGCGACTCAGGAGGCTGAAGCAGGAGAACTGCTTGAACCTGGGAGGGGAAGTCATAGCAAGCATGAGATCCGCACCACTGCACTCCAGCCTGGTGACAAAGTGAGACTCCCTCTCAAAAAAAAAAAAAAAAAAAAAAAAGCCAGGTGTGGTGGTACAGACCTAAAATCCCAGCTAGGCAGGAGGCTGAAGACAATCGCTTAAATCCAGGAAGCAGAAGTTACAGTGAACCGAGATCACACCACTGTACTCCAGCCTGGGAAACAGGGAAAGACGGTCTCAAAACAAACCAAAGACAAATATGGAGAGAGCATTACATTAATTTTTATGCATACATACAAACTTCCCTCACCCAGAACCTGTAGGCAAGCTGACAAGAGGGACAATGAATGTCTCTCAACGTGGGGAAGGGCCATTGCCTCTCCAGGGATTCCAGGAATAATCTGTGAGAAGAACACGGTCTCAAAAATAAAAACCTTAGCTCTACTGAATTTACCTACACTAATGGTAATAAAAGTCTACATTATCAGCCTCGGAAAAACATTCCTGAAGTGACCACCTAAATACAGGTAACCACTTACATCTATTTTCAGGACACGTGTTCTCTACACAGAAAGGAAGCTCAGGAAACTCTCGAGTGAAGAGCAATATACACTACAGTGAACTTTAGAAGTACAATTCATGTCAAGACATGTATTTATTGTTATACTTTGATATGAAATCCCAGCTATTCTGATCTGGAATAAAAAACCAAAATAAATCACAACTTTTAGAAACTCGATGTTTATTTTCCATGAATCTTACATGTTGTTTAAGAGGCCACACAAGAACAGCTTAAGACCATTCAGTGGTTGCTCCTACCCATTCAGTGGCCTGAGCAGTAGGAGCTGCAGACCAGTCTTCCGTGGCAGGCTGGGCGCTCCAGTCTTCTGTTAAGAAAATACCAAAAAAGCCATCAGCGCTGTCCTCCAAGTAGGATTTTCCTTACCCCACTCCCAACAGCAATCTAACAGATGCTACAGCACGCTCGGGTGAGAACCTCTTAATGCTGGTATAAAAGCCAGAGATCATCAAAGTTAGAATGAAACTGGAAGTTGCAAAATAGCAGCCTGATGCACTTCTATCTTGACACATACCAGTAGGGAACTGCTGGATGGGCACAGAGGGCACCTGCACGCCTTCAGACCAGTCGGCAACCTCAGGCTGAGTAGCAGTGAACTCAGGAGCTGGAGCAGTCCATTCGCCCTGAAATTCCTCCTTGGTCACAGCCTTCTCAGCAGCAGCCTGCTCTTCTTTTTCAATCTGGTCATTAAAAAAAAGGGGCAGGGGAGACTTATAGGGACTGACAAATTTTGCTTCCTAGAAGCACAGACCAAGGTGTCCAATTTGCTTATGTAACCACAGGCTTCTGGAAAAGCTTACCTCTTCAGGATCTCTGTAGAAGTAGAGATCAGGCATGACCTCCCACGGGTGTTCACGGGAAATGGTGCCACGCATGCGCAAAACTTCCCGAGCCAGCATCCACCACATCAAACCCACTGAGTGAGCTCCCTGCCGAGAGTGGCAGATTATTAACAAGTGACACTTGGTCAAACCCAAACAGCAAGCACCCTCCTGGATCCTACAAGCACAGCCATCTCTTAGTTTAAAAACAACCGTAACAAGGAACATTATCATCAGGGACTCCCAACCTTGCCCGCACATTGGAATGACAGGGATTAAAAAAAGAAAAGCCATAAACAGTTTTCAGGACTTCACCCCACACAACGAAATGAGATCACTGGGAGAAATACCTAGACACTAGCATTAAAACAAAAACAAAAACACTCTGGGCAATTATTATGCACAACGAGGGTTTTCAGAACAGTTACAAATCAACCAATTTGAACCACATAACCCACCTTTTTAGAATCTTAAAGTAGAACCCATCAAGTTGGTGTGAAAACAGAAAGGCCAAGTGCCTGAGAGGCCTGAGCAAGAAACATGGACAAAGGCAGAAAATACACTGTTTTCCAAATGATTTCCTCTCTCCACAAAGCTGTCGTGCAGTAATGTTATACTGTAGCAAGAATTACTATCAAACTCCACTCATTGGGCCAGAGACCCTCATGGTGTTAGCGAAAAACTTGCCCCTCGTGTAGCACACTACCTACACTTGCGAGTTCATCGGCCAGTCAGCAGCCTCAACTCCAAGCTCTAACAATGTGCACAGGAAGTGTTTTTTTCTACAGCACACATTCACAAACTCTAGATCATAAAATCGTTACCTTGTTGTTGCATGGGATGGCAATGTCCACATAGCGCAGAGGAGAATCTGTGTTACACAGAGCAATGGTAGGTAGGTTGACATAAGACGCCTCCGTGAGAGGCTGGTGGTCAGCCCTTGGGTCAGTGACCACAAGCAGCCGTGGCTCCCGGAAGGCTGCCTGGATCTGGTTAGTGAAGGTTCCAGGAGTAAAGCGGCCAGCAATTGGAGTGGCTCCAGTGGCAGCAGCAAACTTCAGCACAGCCCTCTTTGAACAATCAAAAGTTAGTAGTGCTCCAGAGATACTTCACAGCAACTCCCCAAATGCCGGCACCCAGTTCTGTAACCACATAAAAGGGCCTATCTAGCTAAAACCCTCAAATACCCACTTCCTCAAAAATGCAAGCATCAAAATTAAACACTGAAAGCATTAATTCTTCTGTTTTCTATATAAACTGAAAAGTACTTTAAAAACTACAGCCAGAAAACACCTTAGACATGCCCTCACCTCTAGGCCCTCTGCTTGGAATGCGCTTCGCACCCCCAGTCCTTCCCTCAGGTGTCTGGTTCACTGGCTTCCTCACATCTGGAGGCTCCAGAACCACACTTACCAGGCTCTAAGAACCAAGTGGGCGACTTTGTGAGTTAAACTGGGCGAGACACTCACATGCCTCCAAGTTCCTCATAGGGCTAAGTATTAAACACACCTAAAAGAACAATACCTGGCACCCAGCAAGCACTTCTGGGCTAATTTAATCACCACCACTCCATGTAAAGCAGGCAACACCAGCTTTCCTTAACCTCTTACTTCTCCAGAGATTTCCCCGTGTATTATAAAAGGCAGTCTTGTTTTTCTACTACATCCCAAGCACCTAGCAATACTACCTGGCCCCATCGAGATGCTCAGTATATTTCTGTCAAGCAAGCAAGTACTGTCACTCAGTTCATTCTACGGCAATAATCAAAACTGCCCCTTTTCTACTGTGTACCAAACTACGTGGTCCCAGCAACAAGTGAGTTTGAGGAATAACCCTCTGCAAAAACACTCACGGGAATCTGCCCTGTCAACACTATTGAAATAGAGTCCTGACCACACAATTTTTAAATCTGTCTTGTTGAGATGAATGAAATCCCTGTTACAACTCTTACAATTCAAGAAATCTACTAGTTTTCTCAACAGAAAGATTGTTAATGGAGCTGTGGCAAAAAAAAAGATTCAAGTTCTACTAATTAGCTTTTTTTTTTTTTTTTGAGACAAGTCTCACTGTCGCCAGGCTGGAGTGCAGTGGCTTGGCTCACTGCAACCTCCACCTCCCAGGTTCAAGCTATTCTGCCTCAGCCTCTAGAATAGTTGGGACTACAGGTGCGCACCACCATGCCCAGCTAATTTTTGTATTTTTAATAGAGACAGGGTTTTACCATGTTGGCCAGAACAGTCTTGATCTCTTGGCCTCGTGATCCACCCACCTTGGCCTCCCAAAGTGCTGGGATTACAGGCGTGAGCCACCATGCCCAGCCATTAACTAGTAATTTTTCAAAAATATAAATTAAGGTATTTTTCATTCGAGTTGGCAGATTCTTTTTTATTTTTTGAGACAAGGCCTCACTGTCACTCAGGCTGGAATGCAGTGGCACAGTCTCAGCTCACTGCTGCCTTGACCTTCTGGGTTCAAGCAATCCTCCCACTTCAGCTTCAGCTGAGACTGTGCACACTATCACACCCAGCTAGTTTTCCTTAATTTTAGTAGAGATGGGTTTTGCCACCTTGCCCAGGCTGGTCTTGAACTCTTGGGCTCAAGTAATCCACCCGCCTCAGCCTCACAAAGTACCTGTATTACAAGCATGAGTGACCCATGACCAGATTTTTACTGCAGCCCCGAACTCCTGGACTTGAGGGATCCTCTGCCTTAGCCTCTCAATTAACTGGGACAGCATGTCACTATGACTGAATAACTAAAATTCTTAAAAAAATTCTTGCATGAGACTTGGATAAAACAAAAACTAGTCTAAGAAAAGCTTTCCAAAAAATGTTGCAGTTGACATCAAATTTCTGCCCCAAAATTTCATCATTTCAAGGTAAAAACTTTTGACTATGGAAAAATGTGACAAGCCAATTAAATGGGATAATTTCTACATATTTAGTGGCATAAGTCTACACAAAATGAAAATATAAGTTTAACATAGTGCCAGATGCCCAACATTTATGTTGAAAAGGTCATATAGGCTGGGCGCAGTGGCTCAGACCTGTAATCCTAACACTTTGGGAGGCCAAGGCAGGAGGATGGAGTTCAAGACCAGCCTGGCCAACATGGTGAAACCATGTCTCTACTAAAAATACAAAAATGAGGCATGGTGGCACACACCTGTAATCTCAGCTACTCAGGAGGCTGAGACAGGAGAATAGCTTGAGCCCAGCAGGCAAAGATTGCAGTGAGCTCAGATCACACCACTGCACTCCAGCCTGGGCAATGGGTAACAGAGGGAGACTGTCTCTAAAAAGGAAAAGGACATCTAAGAGTAATCTCTATGGCTCAGTCCAACTTAAAATCTCTGAATAATTTTCTTTTACCTTTCTGTATTTCTCACAGTATCTGTAAGCTTTACTTCTATAATATAAAAACTAATCACTGTTCCACAAACCTGGCCAGTATTCCTGGAAGATATAACACTGACATCAGCAGGGTTTTCAATGGCAACAATGGCACGAGCTGCCAGGAGAAGCTTCTCCCAGGTCCTCTTCAGATTTATGATGTAGATGCCTAGGTGAAGGCAGAAGGATTTTTAACACTTGACCTGCTGTGAAAACATTCTTCACAGAAGTTTAGAGTATGTAGCAGTGACTCCTACCAAACTCCAGCCACAGAGGCAAGCTCTACTGGGGTTAGCGAGCTCCCTGCCATTACTGTAGCACACCTCCGACACTCGGAAGTTCATGGGCCAAGGCAGGCCTCCACCCCGAGCTTTAACAGTGTGCAGCCTGGATTGTTGGCTAAATCCATCTTTCCTTTCACTTTGCCTGTACCTATTGTCCATCAGCAATTCTTAAAAATACACTTTGTGAAGATTAAAAAAAGGGGGGGAATCCACTTCCTGGCTTTCTGCCACTCTTTCCCTTTTATCAGCAGCACTGATGCAAGATTTGCCCTGAAACTCCTTTACAGAATGCCACTCCCAAGTGCTTGGTAGCTTTATCTCTAAATTAAGTGTCTTAGCCAACTTAATGCCATCTGTCTTCTGATTCTTCTAAGCTGTATTCTTTATTCCCACCTCTTACCCCACTTTCCACTCAAGTCAGTCCAATAGCTGTAAAAGTACCTATGAAGTGAGGGCACTATGGGAGACATGACACACTCAGCTAATAAACTCTGTCACATTCATGACCCAACCCAAGTCCCATAATGCAGGCAACTGATGTTTTCTTCCCCTGAAGCAGAAATCTTTTCTTCCAGTAACAATCAGAACATTTACTTAGAGTATGTTTTCAACCTAGGGTTCTGGCTTCATTTGAGGAAGAGGACACAAAGAAATTACCCAGAACTAACCATCAGAATAACAAGGTGAGAATTTGTACTTCCAGCTGGAATAACAAAAAACGAAAGCAATGACTAACCATCACTTTTCCTTTTATAGATATACTGCTCCATCTGGAAGTCAAGGTTGGTGCCACCTAAGTGGGTTCCTGCTGCCAGGAACTTAAGGACATCCTCCTCCTTCATTTGCAGGACATCGAGGGCTCCGGACATCGTGAAAGTTTCCCTTTAAGTTACGACGGGAATCTGAAAGAAAAAAGCAATCTGTTTCTTTTCATTCCAGTGGGTAAGTGGGGTAGGGATACATCCTTAAAAGCAACCAAAGACTCCATCCGCTAGTGTCAGGCAGTGCATAGTGAAGGGGTTAAAACAATAGGTTAATGTTAACAGACACAAGTCGTGTATTATACAACAGCAGCACATCTTACTGAGGAAATGGTGTGGACGGCAGAATAACGGAAGTAATAAACCTAGAGGAAGCCCCGCGCGGTGGCGAATGCCTGTAATCCCAGCACTTTGGGAGGCTGAGGTAGGCGGATCACCTGAGATTAGGAGTTCGAGACCAGCCTGACCAACATGGAGAAACCCCATCTCTACTAAAAATACAAAATTAGTCGGATATGGTGACACAGGCCTGTAATCCCAGCTACTCGGGAGGCTGAGGCAAGAGAATCGCTTGAACCCGGGAGGCGGAGGTTGCAGTGAGCCGAGATCGCCCCACTGCACTCCAGCCTGTCCAAGAGTGAAACTCCGTCTCAAAATAAACAAACAAACCTAGACGAAATTAGTGAATGCAAATTCAACACTTCTTGGTAGTGAAGAAAATCTGCGGATGCGCCAAGTTAACAGCTAGATATAAAGAAAGCAGCCACGTTTGGGCTATGCAAACTAAAGGCAAAAGTGTGAATGGTTTCAGACTGCAGGCGGTGCTTCGCCATTACTTCGTTGTGCTCTCACGACTTGTCTCAAAATCCAAGAACCTTAACTCCTGACCTGCACGGTTCAAACGGAAAACCCGACCAGTCCGAGTCGCTGGTGTCAATCGGCGCCTGAGCCTCGACTCACCGCCGTGTCGGGGGGTCCGAAGGGATGGCAGCACGAGATGTTAGCCCGCTTCTACACCCCCAGCGACCCGCGGCCTGGGCTGAACCCCAGTTCCGAGCCTCCGCTGGATTGCGGCCTCACCCGCTCCCGCGGCAATGTGGGAATCCGCGGGCCCGAGCATGGCCACGTGAGGGCTGCAGGACCTAAAGGTGGCGCGCGCCGAGCAAGAGACAGACCCGGTCTTACCGCTTTCATTACTAGTCTTCGCATCCCTCATTTAAGCAGAAAAAGCCCATTCTTCTGGCCTTGGGAGGAGCCGAGGGTCGTCACAAGTTACTCACCCAGAACAACGCCGTTTGGAGCCCTCGGCAGATAGCGCGGAAAGGACAGGCCGCAGGAAGTGACGTTCTTATATACTCCGTTGTCAGCCAATGGCAAAGAGGGTCGAGCGGAAAAAGGGCGGAGCCGAGGCTGAGCGCTGCCGGAACTGGGCTCCTTTTTCCGGAAGGCGGGCTTGCGGCGCCTGCGCGGTCTCTCGGGCTGTAGCCGATGGCGGCGGCTTGGTCGGATCTGCAGGGCTTGTGATTTTGGGGTTTGTAGTGCCACAGCGACGCCCTGTGCCCTCTCCTACCCATAATTCCTGTCCAGAGCGTGGAACTGAAGCTGGCCAGCCAGGCAGGGCGTTCTTACCCAGCCCCTTGTACCTGCGAATTTGAGCGGCTTTCTCGCCTAAACTGCAGTTTCCTTACCTGAAACGTAGGAAGGTTTGTTCGACACAACAAACTTAAACGTTAGTTAAACAAAAACTTAAGACTTTCTTTTCTTTTCCTGGAGAACAGTTTAACAGGACGTAATTCACATTTAAATGTTCACTTGGAAATTTCACTGAAAAAGTTAAAAAGGACAAGGTGGAACAGGTGGTATGCATTCTATCATCCATCTGTCTATATATACTATATATATGTCATATATAGTATATATGGTATAGTATATATAGTATATCGTATACTACAAACAGTATATGTACAATATATACTACATACGGCATATGTATGATATAGTATATACTATATACAGTATATGTATGATATATATAGTATACCATATACTAGGTACAGTATATCATATATACAGTATATTGCATATACTGTAGTATATCATGTATACTCTATACAGTATATAAAAATTACATAAAACTATATGATATAATTTTTTGGTAGAAAAACAATATATTTTAATCATAGATTATGTATGATACATAATATATAAATTACATAATTTTTATATAAAATGTATATAATATGTAATTTTTAAATTTATTTTAAATATTGAGAAAACTTGGGAACCATTGTAATTTTTTATATAAAATGTATATTATGTATTTAATTTTCTTTTTGGTAGAAGAAAAGTTTTACAATAGCTATCAGTAGGAGGAAAGATAAATGAGCGTGGTGCTTGCACCTGTAATCCCAGCACTTTGGAAGGCCAAGGTGGGTGGATTGCTTGATCTCAGAAGTTCAAGACCAGCCTGGAAAACGTGCAGAGACCCTGTCTCCACAACAAGTACAAAAATTAACCAAGCGTGGTGGTGCATGCTTCTATCCCAGCTACCCAGGAGGCTGAGGCTTGTGAGTGGAGGATAGCTTGAGCCCAGAGATCAAGGCTGCAGTGAGTGTGGCTGCACCACTGCATTCCAGCCTGGGCAACAGAGCCAAATCCTGTTTCCAAAAAAACAAACAAAAAATAGGAGTTAATTGAAGGGGCTTGGTGGCTGTAATCCCAGCACTTTGAAAGGTTGAATAACTCTCAGAAGAACTGATGGTTTGATAAGAGGAAACCCCTTTCGCTTGGCACTCATTCTCTGTCTTGCCGGCCGTGATGTAAGACTTCCTTTCACCTTCCACCACGATTGTGAGGCCTCTCTGGCCTCCTGTAGGTGGAACTTGAGTTGAATGAAACCTCTTTCTTTTGTAAATTACCTAGTCTCGAGTATGTTTTTTTTGTTGTTGTTGTTTGTTTGTTTTTTGAGACGTAGTCTTGCTCTTGTCACCATGCTAGAGTGCAATGGCACGATCTTGGCCCCCTTCAACCTCCGCCTCCTGGGTTCAAGCGATTCTTGTGTCTCAGCCCCCCGAGTAGCTGGGATTACAGGGACCCGCCACCATGCCCGGCTAATTTTTTTGTGTTTTTAGAAGGGACAGGGCTTCGCCACATTGGCCAGGCTGGTCTCCAACTCCTGACCTCATGATCCACCTGCCTCAGCCTCCCAAAGTGCTGGGATTACAGGTGTGAGCCACTGCAACTGGCCTCGGGTATGTCTTTATCAGCAGCGTCAAAACAAACTAATCCACTGCATCTCTTGAGAAGCCACATCTTCCCAGATTTATGGCAAATGGTCAACTGGTATGCAAGAACAGGACCCCCTATAAACACCAACTGGAGATGTGGCAAAAGGGATTCCAATGTTAGGTTTCTCACTGCAACATCTAAAACCTTGGCCACTTGAAGGTACTCATTAAAAATGCAGGTTCCTCTCTTGGGCCTGCTGAGTCAGTCTGATTTCTGAGCCCACCCCAGAATGAACTCTTAAACCCTGATGGCCACCCTCCCATATGACAGCACATCTCCTGCAAGTGGCTCTGCAGCTCCTCTGTGGCCAGTGTGATCTTCTGAGGAGCTTGGAAACACTCAGACTGTAGCACAGGTCACCCCCAGGCTGCCCTGCTTCATCACCCAACAAGGCTGAAGTTCCTGGGGCTCGAGGGACAAATTCAGAGAAGTCATGGCCCCTTGCTGCTAATGCCTCCCACTCTACTCTTTGTTTTGGAAAGAGGAGGCATTCAATTTGTACGCAAAGACTCAGGCCACAAGCCTCCTCAGAGCAAGGCCCCCGAGTCCCAAAACAAAGCCTTCTCCCCGTACCCAAAAAAAGTGCTCCTGCTTAAACCTTTAAGTGTGGATTGGGATTGCTGAGTAGTGAATGCAGCTCTGCGGGGTTCTTCCAGGGGTCTCAGCCTTGGCATTGTAATCACCCGGGGAGCTTTAAAAACCTTGTACCTAGGCTGAATATATCAGAATCTCTGAGTGAAACTCAAGCATCAGTAGCTTTTTTTTTTTTTGAGGCAGAGTCACTCAGTCACCCAGGCTGGAGTGCAGTGCAGTGGCATGGTCTCCGCCTACTGTAACCTCTGCCTCCTGGGGTTCAAGCAGTTCCCTTGCCCCAATCTCCCAAGTAGCGGGGACTACAGGTGCATGCTGCCATGCCCAGCTAAGTTTTTGTATTTTAGTAGAGATGGGATTTTACCATATTGTCCAGGCTGGTATTGAACTCCTGAGCTCAGGTAATCCACCCGCCTCAGCCTCCCAAAGTGCTATGATTACAGGCGTGAGCCACTGCAACCAGCTGCATCAAAGGCTTTTAAAGCTCCTATAGGAACTTCCCCTCTACCCTTTGAATGTTCACTGCTAAAATAAACTGGCAATAGACAAATTAACAGGAGAAAAAACATACACATTTATTAATAGGCTTATGCGCAGGAGCCATACAAAATGTAAGACTCAAAGAAGGACTCGATGGCTGAAGCTTAAATAGCATTTACTTCACAGGGAAGGGAGATGGGGTTGTCAACAATTTAGAGGGTTAGGATATGAATGAGTTCAAAGAACAGAAAGTTTGCCTGGGACAAAGTTCCTCTGAGCTCTGGGGGAAATGGCAGCAAATTACAGTAAGGTAAGGGGAGGAACTTCACTATGACCAAAGGTTTCCTTATAAGGCAGATAATGTCTCCTGGATAATCTCTCAGAGCTGCCCTCAGAAAAATAGATGAAGAGTCTGTCTGGGCATGGTGATAACTTTTAGTCTTTTCTCTTCCCAGTGGTTAATATTTCCTGGTTACCTGATAAGATTCCTAGGGAGGAAGTTTTAAGACTATTGTGTTGGCTGGGTGTGGTGGCGCACACCTGCAATTCCAGCACTTTGGGAGGCTGAGGTGGGTGGATCACAAGGTCAGAAGTTCAAGACCAGCCTGGCCAACACGGTGAAACCCCGTCTCTATTAAAAACAATAATAATAAAAAAGACTATTGTGTTTATTCTGGAGTAACTTTCCTTGTTCAAATAAGGGAACTTCGGACAAAGCCCCTTCAGTTGCTTTGAGAAAGAGGGGATTGAGAGATGGCGTCAGGGGAAGATCAGAAAGAAACCTTGGTTCTGAGGCTTATTTCAGAGGCCTAAGTTTTCTTTAATTCAAAGCACTGAGCATGCCAAAGTGCCCTATTTGTATCATTTTCTAAGCCCCAACATTTTCCAGATGTTTCCAATGTGCAGCCATATTGAGTTTAAAAACTACAATCTTAGATTCTAGAGTATTTATTTATTTATTTATTTGAGACAGGGTCTCACTCTGGAGTGCAATGGTGTGATCTTGGCTCACTGCAACCTCTGCCTCCCGGGCTCAAGCAATTCTCCTGCCTCGGCCTCCTGAGTAGCTGGGACTGCAGGCATGTACCATGTTTGGCTAATCTTTGTATTTTTGGTAAAGATGGCATTTTCCTTTGCTGGCCAGGCTGGTCTTGAACCCCTAACCTCAGGTGATCCGCCCACCTCAGCTTCCCAAAGTGCTAGGATTATAGGCATAAGCCACTGCGCCCGGCCTAGAGTATTTCTTGACTACCTAAGCTAATGGCTCCCATGAGCAGAAGGGTGCTTAGAAGCTGAAGAACACCTAGATGCTGTTGCATTGAGGCAGCTTTTTTTGAGGGAGTCGTGACAAAAGCTGAGATTTGAGATACAATGGGTCGTTAAATTATTTTTCTTTTTTCTTTCTTTTTTTTTTTTTTGAGACAGAGTCTCTGTGGCCCAGGCTGGAGTGCAGTGGTGCAATTGCAACTCGCTGCAACCTCTGCCTCCCAGATTGAAGCAATTCTTGTGCCTCAGCTACCCAAATAGCTGGGACTACGGGTATACACCACTACACCTGGCTAATTTTTTATAATTTTAGTAGAGACAGTTTTGCCATGTTGGCCAGGCTGGTCATGAACTCCTGACCTCAAGTGATCCACCTTCCTTGGCCTCCCAAACTGTTGGGTTTATAGGTGTGAGCCACCGTGCCCTGCTGGTTGTTAAATTTAATGTCAACAATAAGTTAGAAGGCCAGGCATGGTGGTGCACACCTGTAATCCCAGCACTTTGGGAAGCTGAGCTGGGCAGATCCCTTGAGCCCAGTAGTTCAAGACCAGCCTTGGCAACATGGCAAAACCCTATCTCTCTGTTTCTACTAAAAATACAAAAAAATTAGCTGGGTGTGGTACTGCATGCCTATAGTCCCAGCTACTTGGGAGGCTGAGGTGGGAGAATTGCTTGATTCTTGGAGGTCAAGGTTGCAGTGAGCTGAGATTGTGCCACTGCACTCCAGCCTATGGAATAGAGACCCTGTCTTTAAAAAAACCAACAAGTTATAAATGCACACGGCTCAGCCAGGAGTATATGGAAAGGGCATAAGGCATAACCTTGGTGAGCAGATTTCAGTTTTGCAACCTCTCAGCGTCACTGCTGGGTTCCCTGTTTTGATTGGGCCCTCAGAACTGACTCACTGGAACCTTAGTTTGCCTCAAAATTATTTATCCTTTCTAACTGCTGGTTAAAGAAATTTCAGCCTCTCCTCATTTCTCTTGGGAATAAGCAACTGAATGAAGTTAACAGAACGTTTCATTTGCACTCACAAATTTGCCAAGTGAGAAACCCTCTTATGCCTTTTCAGACTTTCCACTGCTTAGTATCTCTGGTCTTTCCTCCACCTAAGAAATTGGATAGACCTTGGTCAGGCGCGGTGGCTCACGCCTATAATCCCAGCACTCTGGGAGGCCGAGGCGGGTGGATCACGAGGTCAAGAGATCGAGACCATCCTGGTCAACAAGGTGAAACCCGTCTCTACTAAAAATACAAAAAGTCAGCTGGGCATGGTGGTGCGCGCCTGTAGTCCCAGCTACTCGGGAGGCTGAGGCAGGAGAATTGCTTGAACCCAGGAGGCGGAGGTTGCGGTGAGCCGAGATCGCACCATTGCACTCCAGCCTGGGTAACAGTGAAACTCCATCTCAAAAAAAAAAAGAAATTGGATAGACCTAAACAGTCAAGCCATCCAAGCTAACGTCCTGTTTATAGAACATATGTGAAACAGAGGAATGAGCTAAAACCATCAGAAAACAAAATTCAGAAAATGGGAAATTTTACAGGATACTGGGGCCAAGAAAGTGTTCCCTCAAAGACTGGCCCTTGGGTATGCCTACAGAGGCGTTGACACTACTTGAGAATTGAGGTTCCCCTAAGCTCATCTTGTTCTTCCAGCTCCTCAGTCCCTACAAAGACAATGTAGGACAAAAAAAAGTGGGGAGAATGGGTGGTGTCCTGGAACAGAGGGTTTTGTTTTTGTTTTTTGAGATAGGGCCTTTCTCTGTCACCTTGGCCGGAGTGCAGTGGCCTGATTACAGCTCAGTGCAGCCTTGACTTCCAGGGCTTAAGTGATTCTCCTGCCTCAGCCTTCTGAGCAGCTGGAACTAGAGATGGCACCTCAGCACGGTTGGCTAATTTTTCAATTTTTATGTAGAGACAGGGTTTGACTATGCCTAGGCTCATCTCGAATTGCTGAGCCCAAGCGACCCATCAGCCTTGCCTTCCCAAAGGGCTGGACCTACAGGCATGAGCCACTGCCCCCAGCCTAGAGATTTTTTTTGTATTTTTTTTTTTTTTTAGTATATAGGGTTTCACCATGTTGTCCAGGCTGGTCTCGCACTCCTGACCTTGTGATCCACCTGCCTCTGCCTCCCAGAGTGCTGGGATTACAGGTATGAGCCACTGCACTTGGCCAAGCCTAGAGATTTTTAAAACCAACTGCCAGCAAAGTGTGGTGGCTCACACCTGTAATCCCAATCCTTTGGGAGGCTGAGGCAGGAGAATCACTTGAGGCTAGGAGTTTGAGACCAGCCTGGGCAACATTGCGAGATCTTGTCTCTACAAAAAAATTTTTTAGAAAGTGGCTCAGTGTGGTGGCGTGCACCTGTAGTCCCAGCTACTTGGGAGGCTGAGGTGGGAGGATTGCTTGAGCCTAGGGAGGTCAAGGTTGCAGTGAGCCATGATCGTCCCACTACACTGCATCCTGGGTGACAGAACAAGACCGTGTCTTTAAAACATAATAAAAAACTAAATGCCTTGTGTGGACCTTGTTTGAATTGATTGAAATAAACCAACTCTAAAAAATCATTTCTGAGATAATCTGGGAAATATGAATATGGGTGATATGCAAAAAATATGTTAAAATTTTCCAGGTGGGGTAATGACATTGTGCTTATGTAAAAAAAAGTCTACAGTTTTTAGAGATGCATTTTGAAGTCTGCAAGGGTGAAATGATGTGATGCCTGGGATCTGCCTCTAAAAGCTTCATAAAAGAAAGAAAAGGGGTGGGGGGCAGGGGCAGAGTTGGGAGAAGCAGGTGTGGCAAAATCTCGGCAATTGCTCCATCTGAGCATATGAATGAAGGGCTAGTGGGCCGTTGGCTCTCCTATTGTGATGGCTTGAAAGATTTCATAATCATGTATTCTTAGAAAGCGAGTGTAATGCAGCTTGAAACCTTTGCTTCTGTATCTTTTGGCTCTAGCCCTGCACTGCCTTATCTTTAGTCACCAGAAGACTATTTTCCTCCCATAGAGCTCTAAGTGCTTTAAGTCTAAGACAGCCAAGAAGGAACCATTAAAAAAAGGGGGGGGGGCGGGCAATGGGCAGTGTTTCCACGCTGACTAGTCAGTTCCTTTCCGAGCTTTAATACTGAGACTGTGAGACAGGAAAAAACAGGCCCCTTGCCACGGGAATCGGGATTCACAAGACAAATTTTCTACCCCATGTTTAGAGAAAACTAGATGACTTCTCCTGATTTATCATGTTTATTTGCTCCCCTAAAAAACAAATGAAGAAAATGTGAGGGGAATCTGGTGGCTGAAATTCACCTGCCAACCTAAGGCCAGGAAATTTGCATTGGGAAGAAGCCCGTCTCTCTTGGTTTTATCTCTACCCCTCCTCCCTAAGAGGCCTCACTGGCATTAGCTTCCCTGCGCCCAGGATGGGGGTCAAAGGAAGCTGAGGAGGCAAAGGACATGGGAACCTGCTCCAGAGTCTAAGTTCTTAGGAGGCAGCCGCTCCATCCACCTGTCCTTCCCCTCCTTTCCCATCCTGAATTCTCCTCTGCTTCCCACAGCATGAGGCCTCACAACTTACAGGTCACAGCACTGGAGGCGTGGGTGCCACTGTAAGATTACGACTCTGCTTCATCCTCTCCCACACCCCTACCCAAACTACTATTTTAAATATGGTGTTTTAACCTAAAACCTAAAGTATAAATTGATTTTAACTTACACATCAAGTAAACTTAATCTGTTACAGGTTTGTGTCCCACAAATGATATGTTGGCATTCTAACCCCTAATACCTGCGAATGTGACCCTATTTGGAAATCGGGCCTAACAGATGTGATCAAATGAAAATGAGGTCATACTGGATTAGGATGGGCCCTAAACCAATACCTGTGTCTTTAAGAGAGACATTTGGACACAGAAACAGATACACAAGGGAAAAGGTACGTGAAGACAGAGGCAGAGATTGGAGTGATGCACTTAAAAGCCAAGGAACACCAGCCACCACTAGGAGGGCCAGCAGGCAAACCGTGACTGCCCTGGAGCCTCCAGGAGTGCAGCGCTGACACGTTGATTTCAGACTTCTGGCCTCCAGATTGAGCGTCATAAACCATTCAATTTGTGGTAATTTGTTGTGGCTGTCCTATGAAGCTAATACATTCCAGGAATATTTATTCCTTAACTCTCACCACCACCTGAGGAGGCAGGAAATATTGTTAGCCCCATTTCTGGCTGGGCGCGGTGGCTTACGACTGTAATCCCAGCACTTTGGAAGGCCAAGATGGGCTGATCACTTGAGGTCAGGAGCTCAAGACCAGTCTGGCCAACATGGTAAAACCCCTTCTCTACTAAAAATAGAAAAGATTAGCTGGGCATGGTGACATCTGCCTGTAGTCCCAGCCTGTCAGAAACCTGAGGTGGGAGAATTGCTTGAACCCAGGAGGTGGAGGTTGCAGCGAGCTGCGATTGTGCCATTGCACTTCAGTCGGCGACAGAGCGAGACTTTGTTGCCCATCTCCTCAAAAAAACTCAAACTAATCACATTTCCTAGGCACAGTTTCAGTACCATGCCTAAGTATGTGGCGAACGAGTAGCTTTCAACCTGGGCTGCCTGGATCAGAGCCCATGTTCTTAACCAGGAGAACAACATATACCCCCACTTTTGCTTCTTGCTAAGTAATGGCTGTTTCTGATTTTTTTTTCTTTTTCCTGAGATGAGTCTCATTCTGTCCTCCAGGCTGGAGTGCGGTGGCATGATCTGCAACCTACACCTCCCGGGTTCAAGCGATTCTCCTGCCTCAGCCTCCTGAGTAGCTGGGATTACAGTCGTGCCTCAGGACGACGGCTAATTTTTGTATTTTTAACAGAGATGGGGTTTTGCTGTTTTGGCCAAGCTGGTCTTGAACTCCTGGCCACAAGTGTTCCACCTGCCTCAGCTTCCCAAAGTGCTAGAATTACAGGAACGAGCCACTGCACTCAGCCATCTTTCCTGAATTTTGTTTTTTGAGACAGCATCTCACTCTGTCACTCAGGCTGGAGTGTAGTGGCACAATTTTGGCTCACTGCAACTTCTGCCTCCCGGGTTCACGTGATTCTTGTGCCTCAGCCTCCCAAGTGGCTGGAATTCCAGGCGCGTGCCACCACACCTAGCTCATTTTTGTATTTTTAGTAGAGATGGTTTTACCATGTTGGCCAGGCTGGTCTTGAACTCCTGATCTCATGTGATCTGCCCACCTCGGCCTCCCAAAGTGTGGGGGTTACAGGCATGAGCCACCCTACCCAGTCTACAGACTGGATTTACACGAAGTATCCAGAGAAGGCTAATTTATGAAGACAGAAAGTACATCAGTGGTGGCCTCGGGCTGGGAATGAGGATTAATTGCAAATGGCATGAGATCTGTTTGGGGAATAAAAACGTTCTCAAACTGATGGATAGTGACGGTATAGCATCATTCAGTAAAGCTGTTTTTTTTTTTTTTTTAGATTAGGTTTTAGGGACCTACATAGGTCAAGAACCAGCCCCCCTAAAACTATTTTAGGAAAGGGTTCAGTCCTTTTTTACAAGGCACAAGTAAGGAAAAAAGAAGTATGACAACACCTTTTACGTTTTCCAAACAGCTTTCAATGATAAAGTTCAATAAATAAAGCACTTTAATTACAGGAAAAAAAAAACAAAATGCCAGAATTTAGAGGTAAAACAGTACAGGGGCCTAGACCAGAAAATTTTACTTGGACATTCAGAGACTAGAAAGCCACTGTCCTGTTCTCCAGAGCCTCTGAGAAGCTGACTGAGAAGCAATTAAAAAAGGGCATCCGTTCCTCATCCTACCATCACCTCAGTCAGTCTGTGACCCGGTGACAGTGACTCCTCTCCTCACATCCAGTCCTTCCTGGCTGGAGCACCTCAGGCCCAGCAGGCAGCTTACAGCTTCTCTGGCTTTGCGATTCCTTGCCCAAGAACGTACCCAAGGAGACCCTGTGGTGTAGGTGGGGGGCTGAAGCGCAGCCACCTGACAGAGCTCTCCTCGGAAAACGCCTCTCCAAGTAGCCTCTCAGGGTATGCAGAGCTCTCTCCTGACTCCCCAGTGTGCTGTATGTATTAGTGACTCCTCTCTTTGGAGATTCTGAAGGCTCAAATCAGGTCCAACTATTTTCTCCTTAAAGGGGTTACCAAAGGCAAAGGCAACACAATTTCTGCCTGGCTTTCCAGGTAGGACTTCAGCTTACTGCAGGTAGTGAGAAGCAGCAGCCCTGGGCAGAAACCAAGCAGGGCAACAGATGCCACCCTTTCCCAGGCCTCTCTTGGTCAGGACTTCAGGCCCATTTTGGCCATCATCTCTTCATACACTGTCCACGCCATTGCTGCCATCAGAGTTCTGCGGAGGGCTCGGGGGATGCCACCTTGGAAGAAGCCACGTAGTCCATAGTCCTGTGGTGAAAATAAATGTCAGAACTCTGGAAGCAAAGTAGCAATACGATTAATTATCCACTTGGTACCAAAGTGAGGGTCTCTACAACTCCACGTTTAAGACTTACTTCATGTCCAAATTAAGAATAATGGGTCTAAGAACACAACCAATGAACTTAAAAGCCTTTATTTTTTTTTTGTAGTTGCTGTACTTACCCTTTTAGGCCTCCTGTCTAGGGGAGTTTTTTAGCTGAAAATCTTTATGCAGGGTTGCTATTTAGTTGTGCAGTTTGTATACTGTACAGAAGCACTAAGTGCCAAGTAGCAGATGAAATCCAGGCAGAGACCTGCCTGCCAAGCCCTGGATCCAGGATCCAGGCTGAAGGAAAAGGTGCCTTCTATCAGGAGGGAGTATCTTTTTGTAATTCACTGTATGCTCTTTGTGGCGCTACCTTCATATAAATTAAAGACAAAATGCCCATTCCTCCACCCTCATAATCTGGGTTTCACATATACTAAAGAAAATATTATTTTAAAACTTTATGATTTTAGATATAGAGATAAAAACACAAATTCACACTTACCTTTAGCAAGAATATCTGCTTTGTGATAACAATATGTGTTCTAAAAGAGCCAACCCAGTGGCTTATAAATAGTACTTAGTGCACTATTCATCTACTGCAATTTTCTTTTAAATTTAAATAGAGACAAGGTCTCCTTCTATTCCCCATGCTGGTCTTGAACTCCTGGGTTTGAGGGAGCCTCCTGCTTCAGCCTCCTACAGTGCTGGGATTACCAGCATGAGCCACCACACCCAGCCTCTACTATACTTTTTATCTTCAGCAATACCATTTGTCCATTTATATTAGAGCAAGCTTGTCCAACTTCTTCAGCCCACAAATGCAGCCTAACACAAATTCGTAAACTTTCTTAAAACGTTGAGATATTGTGTGTGTGTTTTTTCCCCTCTGACTATATAGTGTTTTACCCTAGGTCCTCAATTAGAGTACTAATTTCACCCAGATTTCCTGATTCAATAAGTTTGGGGTAGAGTTCAGCAATTTGCAAGTTTAACAGATATCACAGTTCTTCCTAATGTAAGTGTCTCCACCCCCAAAAATACCAGTTTTGTGGTTCTCGACCGTAAAACATATTAAAATCACTGGGGAACATTAAAAAACAAACAGCTGGGGTTTCATGCCTCTAGACATTGTGATATAGTTGTCCTAGATTGTAACCTGGGCTTAGGGGTTTTTAAAAACTCTCTAGGCCTAGAGGAGACTTTAAGTGAATGAAGGGTAAGAGCGGATCACCTGAGGTCGGGAGTTCAAGACCAGCCTGACCAACATGGTGAGACCCAGTCTTAAAAAAAAAAAAAAGGATATATTTACACAAACGATAACATTATTAAAAAAAAAAAAAAGGCCGGGCGTGGTGCCTCACGCCTGTAATCCAAGCACTTTGGAGGCCAAGGTGGGTGAATCACCTGAGGTCGGGAGTTTAAGATCAGCCTGACCAACATGGCGAAACCCCATTTTAAAAAATAAATAAAATTAAATAAAAAAAAAAAAAAGAAGGGTAAGAACTACTGCTCTAGAAAGAGATCCTTAAACACCACAAGAACCAGTACTTATTCTATAGTCTTACTTTGAAAATCAGTGTCACTGCCTGGCCAATCCATCGAAACTTCAGTGGGTAAAGCTGCATATGAGTTTTGATAACATCTGCAGGCTGAGTTACCAGTGAAGCCAGAATACCAGCAAATATCCCACAGCTGAAATTTGTAATAGGAATAAGGGTTGCATCCACCTGGTCTGAAACACAACAAGGGTAACGTGATTATAGATCTTACATTCATCACATAAAGTTCAATGCAAGTTGCCCACTAATTCTTCCTCAAACCAAGAAAGTATGAATTCAAATAAGGCTAACAATTAAAAACTTAAAAGGTGCAACTAGTAAATACATGTAGATGGAATCTAGAGCTAGAAGAGCACCCTTTTCAAAACACCATCACAATAATTGACTCAAGCAAGAATCATTACCTGATGTTAAAATGTGTGGGAAAAAAACAGGATGTTTATATAGATTCAAAGTTACCTTCCCACAAAGATGCTTAGACATTATAAGGGGAAAAATAGATGAGTTTTCAGGGAAAATACCTGTCAGTATCTTATCCAAGTGATAAAGTGTTAACTATCACTCATAATGGGTCAAATTGCTGCCATGACCCTCCTGATATAAGTCAGTGAGGATACAACATTACCTATGTGGTCCTCTTGCTAAAAATCTAATCATGAAGAAACTGCATATAAACCCACAATGAGGTATGCAATTGGCCTATATTCTTGAAAATGAAACACAGGATTACTACGAAGTACATTATTGGGACAAATAGAGACATCAGAATACAGACTATAGGTTAAAGAATTGGGCTACATGCCTATAATCTCAACACTGGGAGGCCGAGGTGGGAGGATCAATTGAACCTGGGCAACATGGTGAAACCCTATCTCTATTAAAAATACAAAATTAGCCAGACAGGTGGCATGACCTGTAATCCCAGCTACTCCAGAGGCTAAGGCACACAAATTGCTTGAACCTGGGAGGATGAGGTTCCAGTGAATTGAGATCACACAGCCTGGGTAACAAAGCAAGACTGTCTCAAAAAAAAAAATATCTGGGTTAAACTTTCTGAATTTCATAAGACGGTTATATGAGAGGATGTCCTTATTTGTTGGAAATAGACACTGAGGTACTTAAAAGGGCATCATGTTTCTACCTTACCCTCAAAGAGCAGAAAAAAAATACGTACATTGTACTATTCTTGTGGCTTTTCTGTAAGTTTATTTCCAAATACCAGATCCATTTTTTTTTTTTTTTGAGAGGGATTCTTGCTTTGTCACCCAGGCTGGAGTGCAGTGGCATAATCTCAGCTCACTGCAACCTCCACCACCTCCCAGGCTCAAGCAATTCTTGTGCCTCAGCCTCCCAAGCAGTTGAGATTACAGGCATGTGCCACCCATGCCCAGCTAATTTTTGTATTTTTAGTAGAGACCAGGTTTTGCCACATTGCCAGGCTGGTCTCAAACTCCTGGCCTTAAGAAATCCATCCACCTTGGCCTCCCAAAGTGCTGAGATTACAGGCATGAGCCATCGCACCAGGCCTCAGAAAATTTCACGCTTGATCTTAGCCAAAAGGCCAAGAAGCAATGGGCCTCAGAATTTTTATTTTTGGAGACACAGTCTCACCCTGTCGCCAGGTTGGAGTGCAGTGGTGTGATCTCGGCTCACTGCCACCTCCACTTTCCAGGTTCAAGTGATTCTCCTGCCTCAGCCTCCTGAGTAGCTGGGATTACAGGTGCCCACCACCACACCTGGCTAATTTTTGGTATCCTTATTAGAGACAGGGTTTCCCCATGTTGGCCAGGCTGGTCTTAACTCACTGAAATGATCCTTACTGCATCCTTACTGCATGCAGGTTCACTCTATGAATGTGTTTCTAGCACTACTTTGTTTTGCTCGGGTCAATGTTTACTGCCCACCAATTTTGTCCATGTCTAGCCTAACATGAACATGAGCTAACTGGTGTGGGGTGAGGTGAGGTGGGGTGGGGTGGGGTGGGCGTCCCCCCATGCCTGGAGTTTGGCACCTACATCTCCACCTAAATGGAGGGCTCAAAACCATGCTAACTGGTGACAGCAAGGGAGATGAAAATACTATTTTTTTTCCAAACTCCTAACTTATTACTATTTTCCAGACTTTAACAAGAATCACATCAAGTGCTTCTTGAAAAATACAGATTCCTAGGTTATACCCCAACTTTCTCATCCGAGAGACCTTGGATGGGTCCCAGCAATCTTCAGATCAAATCTGGTAAGTATTGTTGCAGGAACTCTGCAGAGCATGCTTTATTTCCCTGTCACTCACCCTATCTTCACCCCCCAAATTATAGTAGTGTAAATATTGTTTTCTTTAATACAATGTAAACCCCAAAGGGCAGGGACCAAGTCTGTCATATCTACCTTTGCATCCCAGTTCCTAACCCTCTGCTAAGAGAATCAAATACGTCTCATAACCAAGGGAAAATGGTGAGGATCTGAAATCTCAAGAATAGCTCTTCCCCACACCTTCCTTTATCCCTACCGTGGGGCACTATGTTTTTGGTCTGGTTGTAAAACATCAGGTAGATTCCTGAAAAGGGCGCATCTCGAAGGAGAGTTGCTGTCAGGCCACTGAAGAGGCCCCGGTGCCCCTCACTGCGATAGATGCTCCTCAGGGCGTCACAGATACTCTCATAGCCATATTTCCCACTCTGCAAAGAGAGCACAGAACCAGTGACTCACATGGAGGCCTGCATTTGAGCACTGAAAAGCAGACTGCAGGTTATGGGGCATTCCCAGGAAACCATGGGCTTGCTTGACCACATCAGACTGTTGATTATAAATCAGGAGTTGACATCAGTGGTCCCTCCCCAAGAGCCCAGTGGCTGAACTGAAGTATCCTGAGGCCCTAAAGCAGTTGAACTCACCTCGTAGCGAGTCTTGACTACAGTGATAGGTGACATACAGACCCCCGCGACTGAGCGAGAGCCCACCCCCAGCATGATTGACTCCAGGGCAGTAGGGGGATGTCCTCGCAAGAAATACTGCTTCAAAGAGTAGAGGGTGCCAAAGTAGATTCCAACGCCAGGAACGCATCTCACGATGGACTGCAGAAAAGGTCACAGAGAAAAGAAAATCCAAGACCCGACACTTTGAGTATTGTCTCAGTTGGGTTTTCCCAAAAGACCCCAGGATGATTTGTATGCAAGTACTTTGTTTAAGGTGTGGAAGGAACACCAATAGGGAAGTGGGGGACATAAGGTAGGAGAGAGGGCCGTCACTAAAGGGTGTGTTATAAAACCAGTTACTGCTGTGGGCAGCTTAATCCCTTTGGGGAACTCTGGGAATCAGTGTGGAACACACCTCAGTTATCCCTCTGCCTGAACAAGGAGGGACATGGGATTTTAAACATCAACTCTCGTTTCAGTGGTTGGGGACTGCTGAGGGTTAGAAAATCAACTTCACCTACATGGTCCTCTTGCTAAAAATGTAGAACTAAATCTAATCGCAAAGGAACTGCAAAGAAACCCACAGAGTTATATAACCGGCCTATACTCTTGAAAACAAAACACAAAATTACTCTGAAGTCCATTACTGGGATAATTAGAGAAATCAGTGCATGTATTTCTGATTCGGGTTTGGGCTGGGCACTAATTCCTTGGCACTTCCAGTAAAGTGAGTCCCTAAGGCCAGAAAAAAGCCTTTGAGCAAAGAAATGCTGGTGTGGATGCCCCATCCCACTTCCACTGAAGTGATGAGGGCAAGGACAGGTGGGGCACTAGAACTTCTGCTGTAGAGGCTATGCTGCAAGAATCAGTCGCATCTAACCATAATGTGCAGATGGAACATTTCCCTGCGCCTGCAAACGGAAGTTAGTGGTAGCATGAGAGATGGGCAGGAAGACCATGTCATGACGTCCACTGCTTCTTACTCTCACACATCCTTAAGAGCTGGTAAGTGGATGAGAAACGGCGGGTTATCAAGGAGTGTGTGCAAGAGAACCTAGACATAGATGGCAGCTTACAGGGGACATCCCTTTCCAAAGGCCCAGAAGACTCTCCGTGCGAACCACCTTCAAGAGTACAGCCAACATCCCGACACGTCTAGACCTGAAAGCAGACAAAATGGAGACAGGGAAGAAACAAATCACTTAGATCACTTCCTCATAAAACAGTTCCCCAAAGACTTCCTTTACAGACCCATCTAGGACACCTAACACTCTCCACAACACACGCTGGAGGTGCTCTGACTTACTGTGTGTTCATAGGTCGGCACACACATATTTGCTTATCTATTTACACTGCAAGCAGTGGGATTACCTCCCATTTTATGTACATTTTGTATACTTCCCACAGCACAGAGCTCAATATCAGGGCAGAAAACAGACAATACAGGCCGGGTGCAGTGTCTCACTCCTGTAATCCCAGCACTTTGGAGGCTGAGGCGGGAGGATCACTCGAGGCCAGAAGTCTGAGACCAGCCTGGCCAACGTGGCAAACCCCATCTTACCCAAAACACAAAAATTAGCTGGGCATGGTGGCTTGTGCCTGTAATCCAGGAGAATCACTTGAACCTGGGAGGCACAGGTTGCAGTGAGCCAAGATGGTACCGCTGCACTCCAGCCTGGGCAAGAGAGTGAGACTCTGCCTCAAAAAACAAACAGAACCCAAAACAGACAATATTGATGTTATTTCCAGAAAGTCACCTGCTACACTCATGCCAGGCAATACAGTTAACATCACAAGCTAACACAATAAAGTGGAAATGTCACTGAGGCACATTCTCAGAAGTGGCTCAGGAAAGGACCCCATTTAATTAATAAGAAATGTCAAATATAAAAATTCGCAGAACATATGAAAGTTGGGCATGGTCTGTGTTTCTCCCTGAACATCCAACTGAATGGAAGTTGACTGAACACAGTAAAGATGCTCCTGTGTCTGAAGTTGCTGAAATCAGCTCCTAATGCAGGGCCTACCCATGATCTGAAGGCTGGAGAGTTTGCAGCCGTGTTTTAAGGAGATCCAGAGGCTGGAACAGGAGGGTAGAGCAGGTCCCACTGATGGAGCCACACAGGAAAGCCTTGATCACGGGATGTAACTGCAGGACAAGACAATATTGTGTCAGCAGCTCTGCCTTTCTCCACACCTGACCAGTGAATTCCTTTATAATGTCTCTTAGAAACTTACCTGCTGGTGCCTCATGTTATCATACCTCGGAGAGGGGAAAAGCATAGCCAGCCAGAAATTAAAAATACCAGACTGTTGCTGAGGACACTGTATGCTGCAAGAGGGATCTCTGGTCTTAGCATTGCTGGTAGACATGCTGCTCAATGGGAGCAAGACTACTTCCATGCCACTGCCCACACTTCCCTATTTGTTCTGACTCAGAAAGTTACTGGTCATCTCCCTACCTGTGCAAAAGCAAAGTCAATTCAGTGGAGTGCTTTCACTTGGAACGGCTGATTTGCAGGCTCCCCTGGCGGTAGGACCTGTGGATATTTATAGAACCAAGCCAAAGCAAATGAAACCTTAAGCTCACCACTGTGTAAAATATAAGTGCCACTTCCTGTAGAATCTAGTATTTCTTTCATTTGAAACTTCCTGTTTCTCTCTCTTTTTTAAGATGGAATCTCACTCTGTTGCCCAGGCTATAGTGCAGTGGTGTGATCTTGGCTCACTGCAACCTCCGCCTCCTGGGTTCAAGCAATTCTCTTGTCTCAGCCAGCCTCTCAAGTAGCTGGGACTACAGGCACCTGCCACCACTACTGGCTAATTTTTGCATGTTCAGTAGAGATGGATTTCACCATATTGGTCAGGCTGGTCTCACACTCCTGACCACAGGTGATCTGCCGGCCTTGGCCTTCCAAAGTGCTGGGAATATAGGCGTGAGCCACCGTGCCCGGCCACTTTCCCCTTCTCTTAAACCATCCATGTCACTGGACCCTCAGCAGATCACAGTCTTACAGACCAATAGCCTCTCCTGGCTTTGCTGCCTCTTCTTCAGCCCATGCACTGTCATACACACTGGCTAATCTACAGACACCACCTGGAAGGGTGGAACTCCTTCAAAGACTAAATGCACCTCCCTTAAGCGTGTTCCAGGAGCTGCAGCTTCCAGCACTGGTACTACCATTACGGGACAGCATCCTCTTCCCAGACCCCTAGAACCCAGTGGAATCACAATTGACTATGAAAAGGTACTTAAAACCCAACCAGTGACCTTCTTCCCCCTCCTCTCCTTCCCTAAAATAAATAAATAGATAGCTATCTTCTCCAAAAATGCTTGGCAAATTCATCCTCAAAGATCTTCTCTTCCCTTATTAAGTGGCATTTGCACTATTATTTTAAAATTAACACACTGTAGCCCTAAAATATTAAGATGAATATATATAAAGTTTACATTCTACACACCACATAACCACTTCACTGGAACTGAAATGTCTGTGATCTGTGGTATATGCTTAACAGAGAAGACTGCATCTCAAGTCCACCAAAGGAGCCAGTTATAATTGGAATTCCTCATAAGACTGTTGGAGGCAGGGAGTGGCGGGGAACTAAGTCAGGTCATTAAAAACTGGAGTTTACAACCACAATCCAATAGTTTCTGAAGTACCAAAGCGTGGTCTGATGAGACAACAGGTAAAACCAAGTAAGGTGTGCATATTCAGCAAGTCCATCCACATCGACTCCCTCTCCCCCAGAGGGGTCCTGCTCTTCTGCCAACCAATATTCCCATGGGTTCTGTGTTTCTAGTGTCTCCCCAAGACTTTGTGGCATTAATGAGCCCCACCTGCTCACACACTGGGCCTCTCAATCCCACTGGCATCTTCTCTTCTGCCAGGCAACATGCTCCAAAGCATCCATCTTTCCAGCCTGACTCTACGTCATCTCCACTTGCTCTATGCCAGTCCCTCTGCAGCACCCCCTCCTCCACCACAGTGTGCTATCCAGCCAAATCTCCTCCACTAATGCAGCCTCTGAGGGCTTGCCAAGCACCTGCTGCACCCCAGGACCCCTTTCTTGTCCCTGTCCTTATCTTACTTGGCCTCTCTGGTGCATGCCATATGGCTGAGAGCCTCTCCTCGTAGTTTCTGGCTTCTCTCTCCTTCCCTCCGGCTGCCCTTCATATAGGGCTGCTCCTCTTATCTCCTATCAGAGTAACCTCACCCACACCCAGTCTTCACACACATGCTGGTGATGTGTACACCTCCAGCCCAGGCCAGCTCTCCCCTGACTCTGCTAATATCTCTGTCTTCCCTCAAATGGCCCACAGGCATCTCAAATTCAATATGTCCAAAATGGGAAACTTGGTCAATAGTTCTCCACGCATTTGCCTCTTCTCCACTCCATGCTGGGATACTCCAGGAATCCGGTTGGAAACCTCAGGGACACATAAAACTCACTATGCCTGCTGCTTCACAAGTCCCACTGACTAAGCCCACAGTCTTCCCAGTGTGGCCTCCACTGATCCATCCTAATGACCTCTGTGGCAGTCTCCAGCCTCAACTCTGCCAACCCACCGCCACTCTGCTACCTGAGTAGCACTGGGCGAGGCATCTAAAGATGCCACCTCAAAAATATCACAGCATCTTATGCTCACAGAGGTTACAAATGTGTCCTACATCACAGGGGTGGAAGCCACTGGCCAGGACTTAAAGTTCATATTCTTTTCACCATATAGCTCAGTCTAAAGTGAAAATCCAGGACACTTAGGCCACTCAGGGCGTTCTACTATTCACCACCGCTCCCTTCTTGAAACGCTCTCTTCCTTTGGCTTCAGAGGTTAAAACCACCCTGGTTTTCCTCCCACTTCTCTGGCCTCTCCCTTAACTGAACTATACTCCCATGGCCTTCCAACCACTTCCAGGGGTTCATTTCCACCCTCCCCTCCACATGCTCAGCCTCTCACTGGAGCTCCAGACTCACACAGCCACTTACTCAGATGTCCCACAGCCACGTCAGATGATGTTTCCAAAGCCGAACTCATCTTTCTCCCACACCTCCAACCAGCTCCTCCTCCAAGGTGCTCTGTCCCAGTGAATGCCCTGTCATTCCTCTGTTTTCTCAGCCAGAAACCTGAGCACCATCCTTGGACTCGGCCTCTCCACACTTGTTCACTGGACCTCCTAAACAGCTCTCAAATCCACCTACCTATGCCAGCTAAGGGCCCTGTCATCTCCTGCTTTGGTGGCTGCTACCACTTCTTCACCCATTTGTCGCCTCTATGACCCCTCTAATCCACTCTACCCTGCAGCCAGAGGCATCTTTTATGTTATTATTTATTTATTTAGAGACAAGGTCTTGCTCTGATACCCAGGCTGGAGTGCAGTGGCTAAATCATGGCTCACTGCAACCATGACCTATCGGGGGCTTAGGCGATCCCCCCACCTCAGCCTCATGAGTAGCTGGGACTATAGGTGTGTGTCACCATGCTCAGCTAATTTTTTGTAGACACGGGGTTTTGCTACATTGCACAGGCTGGTCTCAAACTGGACTCAAGCAATCTGCCCACCTCTGCCTCCCAAAGTGCTAGCATTACAGTGAGCCAGCGTGCCCAGCCTAAGTCATCTTTTAAAACTGCAAATTTGATCACACTGCTTTCAGGAATAAAACCCCTCAATGAAAGACAATGTTTTGTGAAATCTGAAGTTACTAGCTTAAAAACAAAACCAAAAACCAAAAAAAAAAAAAAACCAAAACAAAACAAAACAAAAAAAAGGAACAAAAATACAAGTAATAGTCGGGTGCTGTGTGGTTCATGCCTGTAATCCCAGCACTTTGGGAGCCCGAGGCAGGTGGATCATGAGGTCAGGAGTTCAAGATCAGCCTGGTCAACATGGTGAAACCCCATCTCTACTAAAAATACAAAAATTAGCCAGGTGTGGTGGCAGGCACCTGTAATCCCAGCTAGTCAGGAGGCTGAGGCAGAGAATTACTTGAACCCGGGAGGTGGAGGTTGCAGTGAGCCGAGATTGTGCCACTGCACTCCAGCCTGGGTGACAGAGCAAGACTGTGTCTCAAAAAAAAAAAAAAAAAACCAACCAAACAACAACAAAAAAGACAAATACAAGTAATGACAAATGTATTAGGAACTACAGAATAATGGCCCAAAAATTTGTCTTTAATACTTACTGAATTACAGCTTTAAAAACCCAACCAAACCAATACTTTAATTGGTTCAGATTCCTCTGAGGATAAAGTCCACACTGCTGGTGGTAAGGCCTTTCATGAATCACAGGACTCCTGCTTGCTGCTTCGTTCTGTTCTCACCCTCCCACCCACACACTCTGAAGCCATACTGGAGGACTCACCTTGCTTTCACCTCTGAAAACTGACTTCTTGTTATGCCCTAGCTCCTGTCTTGCTTCCTAACTCCTCCACATCCAAGTTCAGTGCCTCTCCTTGGGGCTTCTGTAGCAGCACCCAGGCCCATCTCCCTTATGGCTGTGTGTCCAAGACAGAGGGGTCACACTCCCACCTCTCTTGTTCATGGTGGTATCTCAAGAACTGACCTCAGAGCCTGGTGCACAGTAGGTGTTCAACACTGACAACGAAACAAATCTTGCCACCTAACAGGAAACCTTATGCTCTCCCTCTGAGCACGATCCCACAGGATAAGGCTCAGTGGACCCTGTCTGCCTCATTCCAGGATGTTAATCTCCCCAGCTTCCTCCAGGACCCTTGCTCCAGCAAGGCTGTAGGAATGACTGCAGTGACAGTTTCCTGGCAGTTCTAGGTGCTGCTGCCCCAGTGCTCACACAGGTGTGTTGTGGAATTTGTTTTCAGGCTGTCCTTCACCTTCCCATCCTTGATTGCAGGAAATACCTTCATAATCTCTAATTTTACAGCACAGCTCAAATGATTGAGCCAGTAACTTTTTTAGCTTTGTAATTTTCCAAGCCCATTAGCAGATGTTATTCATACCAGCAATATAGATTAACCTCTAACAGGCAAAAACAAAACAAAAACAAAAACAAAAAACCACCATCCCAACAGGTCATATTGAATGGTCTTAAGATTTTGTCAGTGGTGAATGGCACACATCCTTTGCGAGTGAACTTAATTTTTAAAAGGAGCTCAGGGCCAGGAGGGGTGGTTCACTCCTGTATTCCCAGCACTTTGGGAGGCCAAGGCAAGCAGATCACTTGAGTTCAAGACCAGCTTGGCCAACATACCTGCGGGCCAGGCGTGACGGCACCTCTGAGTGCCTGCCTTCCAACGGTTTGCTGGGACGGCCAGTGGTCAGCGGGCAATGCCATGCCTCCTCCAGTGTTTGACTGGTCGCCACCCACGGCCCAGCTGCTATTGGTGGAGGTGGGGCTAGCGACAGGTTGCCTGATGGGTGGAGTTGGGGTGCTGTTGTCATTAATACTCATTGAATTGTAATTTAAAAAACCCAACCAAACCAAACTGGTTCATACCCGTCTCTGCTAAAAATACAAAAATTAGCCGGGCGGGGTGGCACACACCTGTCATCCCAGCTACTTGGGAGGCTGAGACAGGAGAATTGGTTGGACCCGAGGGTCAGAGGCTTCAGGGACCTGAGATGGCGCCACTGTACTCCAGCCTGGGCGACAGTGCAAGACTCCGTTTCAAGAAAACGGGTGGATCAAAGATATTCAAGGTAAATAAACATGTAGTTTAAGGGGAGAAAGAGGAGGGCATAAACAATGATACACACACAAAGGAAATAAGTAACACGTAAAAGTGCAAACTGGCTCAAGCACTTCCTACTCCCCTTAAAGAAAGTACCGTAAGTTCAATTCAGATCTGGAGGCGAGAGCTGGAGAGTTCTGAAAAAGGTAAGCAGGTTTTCAAAGACGTCAACGTAGTGACCACTGCCGCCGTCTCGGCCTTGAAGGAAAAAAAAAAAAAGGCGGCATTCTGCCCCCACCTCCGGCGCAGGACCTCGGAGCGAGCAGTAGCCGTCCGGCCCCAGGCCGTCAGCGCCTACGACCAGCTGCACTCCGACTCTACCCACCAGCCAACTACCCCGCCAGCCCCGCCTCCGCCTCCACCAATAGCGGCCCGGCGGCCCGGCCACGGCGACCAATCGAACGCCGGAGGAGGCGTGGCGTCGTCCTCCGCCGCCTCAACCAGCGCGCGGAGGTGCAGTCAAGCCAGGGCCACGCGTATCAGCACCGCCGCCCGCGGGCGCGCAGCGGTACCCGGCCAGCTCGCGGTGGCGTCGACGGCTTCTCAGCGATATTACCAGGCCTTGTGACCATCCCAAATCTGCCCATGTGCCCTCCCACCTCCGCCACTCCTGGCATCCTACCCGCACCTCGTGGGGGGCGCGCGGGCACACTCCCCAGCACGCGCCCCGCTCAGACCCGGGCAATTCCGCCTTCAACCGGGACTCCGGCCCCGCAGCTCCTGCCCGCAGGGCTAGGCTGCAGCTCCTGGCCCCTCCTCCCTCCCCGCACCCTTCTCAGTCCCCTTAGACAGACTCCTCTCCCGCTGCATCCTCGACCCTGAGCGCACCTGGGGCGCGGAAAAGGGTCGCTGAGCCGTAGCAACGCTCCGAATTCTCCTGCCCGCGCCCGCGGTTCGGACCCCTGCCTTTCCTGCCCCGCAGCGCCCTCACCATAAGGGTTTCCACCGAGTCTCCGACATCTTGGGGTTGCAGCAGCGACGGACGTGAGTTCTGAATCATTGGAGAGGAGGCCCGCGAGTGCTCTGGGCCCAGGGTGCCGTGGATGGGCGCTCGGACCCCGCCCTGGAGACCTGGAAGAAGGCCGGGGGATGGCGCTAGGCGGGCGACGCGCTTTAAGCCGCGGGCTCTCTGACTTCTGCGGCTGTAAGCGCTCAGCAGCCGGGTTCCGGGCCTGCGCGCGCCGAACGATCCCGCCGCGGGAATCACGCGCCGCTTTTCACCCGCGCAGCAGACTTCGCGGCTCCGCTCTCCTGCCCATCCTGCCCCGCCGCAGGCCTCAGCACTGGAGGTAAGGTTCTATATATCCTGCGCTGGAGGAAGCTGGAGGAACTCTGTAGAAGGGGAGGTTTCGCTTCCGGGTGACACGCTCGTCACGTGAGGGTGTCCTTAGTGCCACCTGGTGAAAACGCCCAGGACTGCAGGGTCCCTGCACCCAGAACTTGATGGGGTGGCTGCGGGCAACTTTGCTTTTGCGTGGAACGTCTGAACGTATTTACAGTCCAGACCTGGTCTGCCCAGTAAGGGGTAACACTAGCGACCGGGGCTATTGATTAACCAATCTTTTAAATCTGCTTCTTGTTAAACAGGCGTTTTTGTTTTGACAGGACCATATTTCCCTTTAAATGCTGAAAACTTAGCGCAGGAGTTGATGTGTACTGTATGCATAAACCGCACGCTGGATAGCTAAGACTGATAAGGTAAAATCTCAGTCATTTTTATATGCTGAAATGATATTTTGGGTATATTGGGTTAGGTGAAATGTATTATTAAAATTAACTTCAAGCAGGGCACGGTGGCTCAGGCCTGTAATCCCAGCACTTTGAGAGACCCAGTCGGGAAGATCGTTTGAGGGAGCCAAGGAGTTCGAGACCAGTGTGGACAACAACTCGAGACCCCGTCTCTAAAACAAATAGTAATAGCTTCACGTGTTTCTTTTTAAATGTGGCTAGTAGAACATTTAAGCTTTAACATGTGGCTCCCATTACATTTCTGTAGGATAGCACTGGTCTAGTTGGTTAAAATTCTGATTTATTGCTCACCTGGAATCTGTCAATAGCTTTTTTGGTCTCCCAAATTCCCCTTATGCCTGTTTGGCTGATCCATGGAAAAGTATCACTGCTGGGATCCTGACACTTCTATTGAAAGTGCAGGCATACACCTTCAGTGACCCTGGGACTTTGCAGAATGAAGTCCAAGCTTTTCATAGCAACCTTCGCTGCTTTCCACATGCATTCATCACCCAAGAACTCTAGAGCAGAAAAGAAACTGATGACTTAGGGAGCAAGATAATATTTTTTGAGGCTTAATTCCTGTGCTGCTGAGGTACGTAGAACTGGCAAGAAAGTGGTCCTAGAGGAGATTATTCCCAAAGAGGATTAAGGAAAGTATAAACATTTTTAAAAATTACAAACCTGCCTGGCGGTTGAATACTTTGCTACCCTTTGTTCTAAGCTGCAAGGTTCCTTTTCCTTGTGCAGTGCTGATGTTGATAACTATGCACTGAAAGTCCGCTCTGTCGCCCAGGCTGGAGTGCAATGGCAAGATCTCAGCTCACTGCAACTTCCACCTCCCGGGTTCAAGGGATTCTCCTGCCTCAGCCTCACAAGTAGCTGGGATTACAGGCATCCGCCACCACGCTCGGCTAATTTTTTCTATCTTTAGTAGAGATGGAGTTTCACCATGTTGGCCACGCTGGTCTCAAACTCCTGGCCTTGTGATCTGCCCGCCTTGGCCTCCCAAAATTCTGGGATTACAGGTGTGAGCCACCACGCCCAGCCTGAAACTTCTTTTTAAGGGAAGACCTAATTTCACCCTGACACCTCCCCCAACTCCCTGCATCAATTCCATAAGCCAAGAATTCCTACTTTTGAGAAATCATATGTTGGCATATTTTAGAGACTGCTGTTGGCCACTCTGGGTGTGGAGCACAGGTGGGACCTAGAGTGAAAGATGTCTGTCCACTGTCTCACCCTTCCAGGTATGCTTGCTTGGCTATGTGCTCAGAAGAAATGGGCTGGCTTTCAAGGGTGGCAGCTGGCAGATTTCCCTCTGCGTCTGTTTCTCCATGCTTACTCATAACTCTAAAGCCCACAGGCCCTTCTTTTCCCACATCTCCACTGGATGCTTGTGGGATGCAGAGGTGTATAATGATCATGGGAAAGGAGCATCACTCACCGGCAGATGAGGAATTGGAGCAGTACTTACTTAATCACAAGGTTGGAGGAGTGGACTTTTTTAAAAAAGAAAACATTGTGTGTGACCTTAATTCAAAACAAAGTCATTAGCATAGACAAGCCTTAATGGATTTATCTGCAGTCAGGGGAAAGTGATTTGGCTCTTATGACCTAACTTCCCCCAATTACACACTGAGTCCCTCAAAGACCCAAAGTGGCTCTTGTTTACTGGATCATGATCAGGTTACATGATGTTTTCCCACCCCACGGATTGTAGACATCCTGTACCGAGGAAGAAATACACATGTATCAGTTTGGTTACATGACCTCTTAAAACTTTATTCCCAGCAAGTCTTGACATCTCGAGGAGTTTCCACCATCCAAGAAGGAAAAGGCTGCGGTCCACAGAGGAAGCTGGAGGTGAATGGCAGAGACAGGGGCTGCTCAGATAGTGGCTTTGGCTTCCTGTCTGCCTGTCAGAGCAGGGGGAGGTGAGTCTTGCAGTGCCTTACATCTGTGTCACTTCATTTGTAAGAAGATGGCTGGAATGGTGAAGAGCACATAGGTAAATCACTGCCGTCACCCCCCATGCTTCCAGAAAACCAGCTCAGCAAGATCTTTCTACCCTCCTGGAGCCAGAGCTGCTTCTGGAAATATCTAAATTCTTTTACTCATGCCAAAACAATGAGGCCAGCCTTTGCTTTTTAGAAACCAGTAGAGGATTGAGAGGGGAGATGCCATGCATGCTCTCTGCCACAATCTCCCCTGCCGTCCATCTTCATATGCCTCTCTATGCCTACTGACCTCTCAGGTCTTATGGGCATCTTATGATGGTCTTCATCCTATAATTCATGGAGGCTCCTCTCCATCTGAACATCTGCTCCCATCCGAAACACATACAACCTGAGAGAGAAGCCTAAGAGTCTGCAGGCGCACTGTCTTCACCAGTGGAGAAACCGCTCTCTGCCTGATCACAAGGATGCGTGAATACTGCAGAAAAAGAATTCTAAGGGCTTTTCCAGATGCTTCCACAAAGAGAATGGTCCTGTCACTGCTTTGGGCTTCACAAGAAAGAAACACCTTTCTTCCTTCTGTGCCAGTGACTCATGCCTCTAGTCTCACCCCTAGTCAAGAGTAACTGGGCTACGAGAGTTAGAGGGGCTTACAAGCTGGTATCCGAGGGAGGGGCAGGTGACTCTGCGGGGTGGACGCCTTCCTGCAGGAGTGGAGGCCTCAGATTCTACTCCAAGGACAAAGCTGTCAGAGGCAGTGGAAGGGAGAGGAGCCATGAGGCCCGCCCAGGCGGGGTTGCATTTTGTCTGTTGCCATCATATGGAAGCCACATGTCACTCCGTCAACATTTCGACAAACCAGTTCCCCATCTTCTGGAAAAAATCAAACTCCTCTTGTTTTCCTGCTTTCTTTGCAATGAGGAAACAGGCAACATTTTGACTAAAAGTTTATAAACAATAGCACATATTTTCTGGTCACAATTGTTTTAGGTCCTGACTGATCTGAATTTCCCACAGGGGTGAGCAGGACCCACCTGCGGTTTGCTTATAGCTCTATCCATATGTGGAAGATCTTTTTTATCTTTGGCAGAATGACTTTATTTACAAGCAAGCATCTTGTGTAACAGTTTTATGTGTCAATTTGGCTAGACTATAATACTCAGTTTTCAGTGCAGCCCTAATCCAGGTGTTGCTGTGAAGTTTCAATTCAACACGAATCCAGGTGTTGCTGTCAAGTAGCTGGGATTACAGGCACCTGCCACCACGCCTGGCTAATTTTTTTGTATCTTTAGAGGAGACGGGGTTTCACCATGTTGGCCAGGCTGTTCTCAAACTCCTGACCTTGTGATCTGCCCGTGATTTTGTAGATGTGCTTAACCTCTATAATTGGTTGACTTTAAGTAAAGGAGATTATCTTTCACAATCTGGCTGAAAGATAATCAGGATTCAGATTTTCCTGACGGATACTCCTTGCTTCCCCTCCTTAAAGGGTAGAGGCTATCTCCTGCTCTTTTCTGTGTGTCCTTAAGAGACCACTGAGGCAGAGTAATGCTGTAAAAAGAAAGTGGATTTTGGAATCAGGCACTGATTCTATATTTGATCCTGGTATTGTCGCCTGCTAGCTGTGTATTCACCTTAGCTTTCTTTTTTCTTTTTTGAGACAGGTCTTGTTCTGTTGCCTAGGCTGGAGTGCAATGATGCAATCTCAGCTCACTGCAGCCTTTGCCTCCTGAGCTCAAGCGATTCTCCTGCCTCAGCCACCTAAGTAGCTGTGATTACAGGTACATGCCACTACGGCCAGCTAATTTTTGTATTTTTAGTAGAGATGGGGTTTTGCCATGTTGGCCAGGCTGGTCTCGAACTCCTGACCTCAGGTGATCCACGTGCCTTGTCCTCCCAAAGTGCTGTGATTATTACAGTCATGAGCCACCACACGGCCTGCTTTTTTGGTTTTGTTTTCATTTTTCTTTCTTTCTTTCTTTCTTTTTTTTTTTTTTTTTGAGACAGGTCTTGCTGTATTGCCCAGGCTGGAATGTGTTAAAACTCGTGCTCTGAATGAAGAGACCCTTCAAACAGGCTTTGTGTAAGTAATATGGCTGTTTATTCACCCAGGTGCGGGTGGGCTGAGACCAGAAAGAGAATCAGTGGAGGGCAGTGGGATAGGAGTTGGTTTTATAGGTTTGGGCGGTTTTTGCAAGCCAGGAGGGGGTCATAGGTTCTGGAGTCACAAGGTTGACCAAGGTCCAATGGCCTTATCAATTGGGGCAGGAATAAGGAACAGCAGAGACTGTCTCAAAGTTAAGTAGGCGCCACAGGGTCGATCATTTCTTCCTCTTTTCATGGTCTTCCAGTTACTTCAGATTTGCTAATTCCAGGAGGCTATCCAGAGGTGTACATGCGGATCAGCAGGGTTGCCATGGCATCCATGGCATGGTCAGACCTTACAGAGTGCAGTGGCACAATCGTGGCCCAATGCAGCCTTGAACACCCAGGCTCAAGCAATCCTTCCACCTAAGCCTCCTGAGTAGCTGGGACTACAGTCATGCACCACCATGCCTGGCTGATTTAAAAACTTTTTTATTTTTTTGTAGCGGTGGCGTCTTGCCATGTGGCCTAGCCTGGTCTTGAACTCCTCCTGGGCTCAAGCAGTCTTCCTGGGTTGGCCTCCCAAAGTGCTGGGATTACAGGCATGAGTCACTGTGCCTGGCCCACCTCAGCTTTCTCATTTGTCAACTTGGAGATGATATTACCTACCTCCCAGGATTACTGTAAAAATCAAATGAAATCATGTTTATGGAAGTGTTTTCCTAAAGAGGTAATTAAATATAAGGAATTATAAGTACGGTAATGTAAGGTTAGCCGAGAGAAAGGACAAGTAGACCTAAAGTCAGGCACGCGAGTTTATGGCGTGAGAGGGGCTTAAGGGAGTCTCCAGACTAAGATAATCTATCAGCTTGTAACAAGCACAAATAGGTTATCAGCTTGTGACAGACTTACATCATCCTGTGACTTTTGTGGCGGCAGTTAAAAAAACAGAATTTTGCAGCTATGTGTAAAACAAGAATTTACAAGTATGTGTAGCAAAGGTTTGTTTCCCATGACCTCCCCACACTGCCCAGATGGCTGTGATCAGGCTTTGCTCAGCTGGCAGGTCTGGCAGCCTTGCTGCGGCCCCTAGATAAGAGTTTAGGAATGCAGCTGCAGAGCAGTCAGGGTAAAGGTCAGCTGAGGGGGTTTTGGGGGCAGCTTGTCCCTGACAAGTAAATGACAAGTAAAGTAATGATAGTTGTGTAATGATTTGTGGACAGAGTTAAAGATTTACAGGCACCTGTGTTGGCTTTATTTAAACCGGAGGTGGCCAAAAATAGCTCATCCTCATCCTATGTAGAATTTTTATTTTTTATTTTATTTTTTTTATTGAGACGGAGTTTTGCTCTTGTTACCCAGGCTGGAGTGCAATGGCGCGATCTTGGCTCACCACAACCTCCGCCCCCTGGGTTCAGGCAATTCTCCTGCCTCAGCCTCCCGAGTAGCTGGGATTACAGGCACGCGCCGCCATGCCCAGCTAATTTTTTGTATTTTTAGTAGAGACGGGGTTTCACCATGTTGACCAGGATGATCTCGATCTCTTGACCTCGTGATCCACCCACCTTGGCCTCTCAAAGTGCTGGGATTACAGGCGTGAGCCACCGCATCCGGCCCTATGTAGAATATTTTTATTTTTGAACACGTCAACCATCTTCAAGCTTGCTACCTTGTCCTTGGATGAAAAAAGAACGTCTAAAAATTTTAGACTGGTTCATGTGAAAATCAAAAGTAGAAACTTCTCTTTGCAATCAAGATTGCTGCATCCATATTTTCCATCATAATACATCAAATAATCTCATACCAGCTTGCTCCTAACTTGAACCCAGGCAAGGAAAACAGACCTCTTGAAGGTGATGGTCATTGTCCCTGTAAAGACTGCAACTGGCACTGTGATATGCTGCCATGAAAAGTGTGGGGTCTAGCATGGTCCCCAAGGCATCCCCATGGAGAATCTTGCAGAGCCGGGTGAGGGGAGAAAACGTCATCATCACTCGGCTCCTCACGGCCAGGTGCTGGTGAGGTGAGATGCTCACCGCTTCCCTGCAAACCATGGCCAGAGTCTGGCATCACTCAGTGTGAAGCAGACAAGTGAGAGCAGAAAAACGCAAGGGGAAACAAGCAAGGTTGTCTGAAGTATGTTCTCCCTGCTTAGGAGATGAGCTCTTCAAGGGGACAGAAGAAGCCCCCCACCCCACCGCCAGCCTCAGCCTCAAGTTCTGATCTTTTGTTTTCCCTGTGGGTCCATCTTGGTGGAAATAGAATGGTTCAGCGAAAACAGCATGGGCTTTGCAGGCAGAGAGACCTAGCTCTGAATCCCACATTTCCAGCCCTTGGGTACCACTTGGGGCATCTGTTTCTTCACCAATAAAACAGAAAAAAAGTAATTATCTCCTTCTAAGAATTTTTGTGAGTGTCAAATGAACACAGCCAAAGCTCACGGTACAGGTTCTGGCATATACCAGCCACTGAACAAGAAGAGTTTTTCTCCCTTCTCGTTTTTAACACCCACTGATTGCTCCCCTGAAGTTTAGGCAGCTGAAGATTAATGAGTAATTCCCTCATAGGAAGAGGCCACTCCTTGCCTAGGGAGTCAGTAGTGTGAAGCCTCTGCCTCCCTGTACTTCAGTAACCAAGAACCTGTGGAAGGCAGCCACAGACCTACCAGCTGGCCTCTCGCTCCCTGCTTTATACTGAGTAAAACCATGCTTGAGCTGCGAGCTGGGATGGCTCTCCGTGCCTTACCTAGGCAGTCCCTTGAGGGAGGGCCCAGTCTGGAACAGGCAGACACACTTTTTCAAGTCATTGTGGAAAATGACATACTGAAAGCCAAGTCTTTCCTCTGTAATCCTGAGAAAGAGGCGGGTGTCTTCTATCATTTGGACTAGAGAGAAGAGTCAAGTCAGTGAGAGGGACCTCAGGCTGGAGTCTGGCCCTCCGAGTGGAGCAGACCTCCAGGGCAGAAGACCAGAGGAAGTCCTCAGGAAAACCTACGGCCCTCAGTGTCCCCTCTGTACCTCTGGAGTAGACCCATATAATCTGAAGAAAGAGAACAGCTTCCGGGAAGGGGAGGAGGAGTGAACCACCAATGAAATCAGAATTCAGCTGTTTCTATCATCAGAATCAGAAATACTAATCTGAAATGCACTGATTTGGGCAGATCAAGGGATAAACAGGAAAAGACCCTTTTGAGCTTCCCAACATGGTGCAGTCGATTAACATCATGGAGCTGAATCTGCCGCAGCTAGAAATGCTCAAAAACCAGCTGGACCAGGAAGTGGAGTTCTTGTCCACGTCCATTGCCCAGCTCAAAGTGGTACAGACCAAGTATGTGGAAGCCAAGGACTGTTTGAACGTGCTGAACAAGAGCGAGGTGAAAGAATTACTCGTCCCACTGACGAGTTCTATGTATGTCCCTGGGAAGCTGCATGATGTGGAGCACGTGCTCATCGATGTGGGAACTGGGTACTATGTAGAGAAGACAGCTGAGGATGCCAAGGACTTTTTCAAGAGGAAGATAGATTTTCTAACCAAGCAGATGGAGAAAATCCAACCAGCTCTCCAGGAGAAGCACGCCATGAAACAGGCTGTCATGGAAATGATGAGCCAGAAGATTCAGCAGCTCACAGCCCTGGGGGCAGCTCAGGCTACTGCTAAGGCCTGAGAGTTTTTGCAGAAATGGGGAGGGACACCCTTTGGGCATGGCTTCCTGGTGCTGGAAAGGGAAGGGTCTTGTGTTTGATGCCAATAAATGTGCCAGCTGGGTAGAAAAAAAAAAAGACCCTTTTGAAAAATAAACAAATGTGTCCCCTCTAATCCCCACAGGTTTGAGATTTGTATAAGTTAGATTTGTCTAAGCAATATGACCTCAAGGAAGATGGAAAGGGTTTATGGGTTTTGTTTTGGTTTTTTTTTTTTTTTTTTGAGACAGTGTCGCTCTGTCATCCAGGCTGGAGTGCAGTGGCACAATCTTGGCTCATTGCAACCTCTGCCTCCCAGGTTCAAGCAGTTCTCCCACCTCAGTCTCCTAGGTAGCCAGTTACAGGCGCATGCCATCATACTCAGTTAATTTTTATATTTTTGGTAGAGAGGGTGTTTCACCATGTTGGTTGGGCTGGTCTCAAACTCCTGACCTCAGGTGATCGCCTGCCTTGGTCTCCCAAAGTGTTGGTATTACAGGCGTGAGCTAATGTGCCTGGCCAGTTTATGGGCCTTAATTAAGGTCAAGAGTGAAGCCTCCCATATATAAAATCTAAATACTTAGTGGCTCAGGCTTGTAATGCTAGCATTTTGGGAGGACAAGGCAGGAGGTTCTCTTGAGCCCAGGAATTCGAGACCATCCTGGGCAATATAGCAAGACCTTGTCTCTACAAAAATAAAAACAGTAGCCAGGTGTGGTGGTGTGAGCCTGTACTCTCAGCTACTCAGAAGGTGGAGGCGGGAAGGTCTCCTGAGCCCAGCAGTTTGAGGCTGCAGCAAACTATGATTACACCGGTGCACTCCAGCCTGAGTGACAGAGCAAGACCCCATGCCTTTTTAATTTTTTTTAATTTTTAGTTTTTGAGATGGAGTCTTGCACTGTCATCCAGGCTGGAGTGCAGTGGCACAATCTCGGCTCATTGCAACCTCTGCCTCCCAGGTTCAAGAGATTCTCCTGCCTCAGCCTCCTGAGTAGCTGGGATTACAGGTGCCCGCCACCATGCCTGGCTAATTTTATTTATTTATTTATTTTTAGTAGAGATGGGGTTTCACATGTTGGCCAGGCTGGTCTTGAACTCCTGACCTCATGATCTGCTCACCTCAGCCTCCCAAAGTGCTGGGATTACAGGCATAAGCCACTGTGCTCATCCGCTTGTGTCAAAATTCAAATACTTACCAAACACCTGCACTTTTACCAAAAATCTCAAAGCAGGATTTCTAATGACAGATTAGGTATATAAATTACAAGTCTTCTCGCTAGCCCTTTTGTCTCTTAACAACATATGGCACTCCATCATCTGCCATTCTTTCCCATCCATTCTCCTTCACCCATTCAGCTCAGCTCAAACTGACCACTAGAGGGAACATGTGTCTTGTCCCAACAGGTTCTGGGTCCCAGCTTCAGGTGTATGTAAACTACCTGAGAGTCCCATTGGCAGTGAGACCGCTACCGGCCTTGGGTGCAGCAGGGTGAAGGCACCAGCCCTTAGTCCCAGACCCTGCCCCTTTCCAATTCCTCACTTATGCTTCACAGAAGACCAGCTGTGGTGGACAAGTATAAAGAGATGCCAAGAGTGGCTTTGGACAGGGGTGGAGAGCAGTGAACTAGAAGTCAGGAGTTTCTGATGCTAGTCCAAACTGCCAAAAACTCATCGCCGTCACTCTAGGCCTCAGCTTTCTCACTTGTAAGATGAGGGCCTTGAACAAAGTGGCCCCAAGTTCCTTTTCTGGGCTAATAGCATATGAATCTGGGATCATGATCTCCAGACTTCCTTGGTCCTGACTTTTAGGCTAATGCAAGACACACTGGAGATACAGGAGATGGGCTGGGGCACAGATTGCATTGAGGAAAACGCATGTGCATACACAAACCTTTGCCAGCAGTTCTGTATTATGTAGAGCACCCCTGCAAGCCCCGTTAAACACTATTGATATAGGGAGTTTCAACATACCAGGGACAGCTTTCGCAATCTTAGCAAGGTCTGCTTCTTTAAGGAATTGCACAGAGTGCCAGCAACCTGGAAGTCTTGTCCATGACCCATCCACAGTCTTCTCCATGAACTCATTATATAGCCTTACCATGACAGGCTCCAGCTGGCATTGGGGAGGGAATAATCTTTTCTGTCAGACTGGAGGTAGCTGTTGCTTGAGACCTGAAAAGTCCAAAAGAGGTGGTGGACTGGCCGGGTGCAGTGGCTCACGCCTGTAATCCCAGCACTTTGGGAGGCCGAGGCGGGTGGATCACGAGATCAAGAGATCGAGACCATCCTGGTCAACATGGTGAAACCCCGTCTCTACTAAAGATACAAAAAATTAGCTGGGCATGGTGGCACGTGCCTGTAGTCCCAGCTACTCGGGAGGCTGAGGCAGGAGAATTGCCTGAACCCAGGAGGCGGAGATTGCGGTGAGCCGAGATCGCGCCATTGCACTCCAGCCTGGGTAACAAGAGCGAAACTCCGTCTCAAAAAAAAAAAAAAAAAAAAGAGGTGGTGGATTGTGCACATTCAGCTCCCACGTGGTGTTTGGTTTTCTGTTCCTGGGTTAGTTTGCTGAGGATAACAGCTTCCAGCTTGACTTCCAATTTGACTCATTTGTTCAAGCATTTATGTACTAGATGAGCCTGTTTTCTCTCGCAGAGCACTTACAAATGCCCAGAGGTAAGAGAGAGCATGTGAGATTCCTAGACTGTAAATATGGAAATGTCTAGTAGGAGGGAAGGAATGGAAGGGAGGAGGCCAGAGGGAAAGCCTGATGGCCTCCATCAACCACGTAGGAGAATGCAGGCTTTATGCTGAAGAGGTTTCAGCAGGAGAATGAAAGGTCAGATTTGCATGTTAGAGGGATCTCTGCACACTGGAAGTTGCAAACTGATCAAGTCTCACTGACACTGGGCAGCCTTGCTGATATACAATTCAAAGACACATTATTTCCCCTCCTGGTTTCCTTTCAGCTTCCAGGTCCTCTGTGCCTCCCTCTCCTGCTCCCCAAGTCCTTCAGGTTCTGCTTCTAAGACGGTTCACCTTGTTTGACTATTTAGTTTATATATCCTCTTACTGTTCTATTACAATCAGAAGGCTCAACCAGAGACCCCCTTTTCTGGGAGACAGAGTAGATGATTGAGTCCAGATAGCCCTCCTTCCTGGGAATTCTGGATGATCCATCATATGGCAACACCTTCTTGTATCTCCTACCTGGTTATCGTTTGAATTCACTGGTGCCAATCAGTCCTTCCTGCTCTTGGTACAGTTTCTACTTTTTCTGGTGCATTAATCTGGCTTATTCACACTTCCCTCTATATGCCCTTCTCTGCCTACACAGATGGACAGAAACATAGCTTCTTAAATTATTTATAAACAGACAAGCTCTTAAGGGCCAGGGGTCAGGGATGAAGGAATGATCGACGATTACTACCACCCTTCTGTAGGAAGCTCTTCTTTTGTGAGCTAGTGGATGGTAGAGCAGCATTTGAATCAGTCTCCAAAACTTTTTCCCTTTAATATGTCACACTTACTGCTGCTTGTCACTTCACCGCTCTGCATCAATGTTCGAATCTGTAAAAATGAGAATAATGCCACCCTCCCTGTGGAAACTGCATAATGTGAATGTACCTGGCTCAGTACCTGCCAGAGCAAGCATTCCAAGATGCTAGCTTCATCTGAATTCAACAGAAAAAAATACCTCCTTCTCCAGTTTGAGCCTGAAGAATATTTTTTAGCAGTGATTATATTAACAAAGCCTGGACTGAAATCCTTTTTTGGGATGAGGTTACTCATGAAGATATGAAAGGGATGACACCGAGTTGATGCTACTTCTTGGTACTTAAATTGCATACAGTTCGCTTTTGATTCTGCCTTTTTTTTTTGAGACGGAGTCTCTGTCACCCGAGGCTGGAGTGCAATGGCATGATCTTGGCTCACTGCAACCGTCACCTCCCGGGTTCAAGCAATTCTCCCAGCTCAGCGTGCTGAGTAGCTGGGATTACAGGCGCCTGCCATCATGCCCGGCTAATTTTCGTATTTTTGTAGAGACAGAATTTCACCATGTTAGCCAGGCTGGTCTTGAACTCCTGACCTCAAGTGAGCCACTGTGCCCAGCCTAGAAATTACCGTATTAAAATGTAATTGCTGCCTTCCCTCCAGGTGCTACTGCCCGGATTTTCTTTCCCCAATTCTACCCACTCTAGGGTTTTGGCAATTCAACTTTCCCACATCAGAAATGTTCAAGAAAAGCTAGAGAAAGGCTACAGAGTAGGTAAGAGAGAAGGGGCCTCTAGATACTGTCTCTAAGCCCTGAGTGGCCACACTTTGAGAGCCTCACCCCTCAATATAGGGTAACAGAGCCAAGTGTAATGAGCACCTTCTAGGAATCAGGAGCTGTGCTCCTAAGACTTCGTTTTGCCAATATCTGCTGTGGCCCCGGGCAGGCCAACTTGTATTTCCAGGCCTTAGTTCCCTCATCTGTCAAAGGACAGCAGCAGATCGAATACTATCTAGGGTGTCAGCTCTCTCATTCTGGGGCTCTATGACCAGTTTCAGTTGCCCAGCATCTGGTGATGAGGATACTCACAGTGATGAGCTGGACCGGCATCCAGGCTGATCTGGGTAGCAGGTGCTGGCCAGCCAGAGCTTGGAGAAGGGGCGCTGACAGGCCCCACCAGCCATCTGAGACCTCTCTGCAGCATGACGTCCAGCTGAGATCTGCCAACTGAACCTCCTCACAAAGGCTAGACTTCCTCCTATTAGATAAACATTGGCCTGAGCTGCTGCCTCCGCCAAGTAGAGCCTTCTTCTGAGGGGCAGAGGACCAGCAGCAAAATCCACGCCGTCCTCCCTTGCCGGGCAAAACACTAAGCAATCGTAAGTTAGTAAATTACAAATGCATTTGATGTGTAGAGCTGCCAGGACTTCTGGCTGTGTTAACCAGGCACCTGGAAGGATTCGATCAATCTCAGAATGTTTTGCATGCCAAGGGTCACTAAGGTAACCAACGATGACTAGGAAACAGCCATGACAATCAGTCCCTGCATGTAAGGACAGTTGGCGCTGGATACCTCACCCTAGTTTTTAGCTCTGTCCTCTTGTAGGAGACCAGTTTATTCTTTCATTCAAAAAATATTAATTAAGCATATATTATATGTTCCGGGCTCTGGGGATATGGTAGTGAATAAAACAGACAGGGCTTACATCCTGTAAGTAATGACTAATTGTGCTTTCTACACCCCAGGCGCTGTTATAAATGTTTCTGCTTTATCTCTTTTAATACTCATGGGATCTCATATACAGTCCAAATTCAAATTTCACCAATTATCCTCAAACTGTCCTTCATAGCATTTTCTCCCCAATCCAGAATCCAATTTAGAATTGTATATTAATATTTCAGTGAGATGTCATGTCTTTTTGGTTTCCTTTCATCTGGAACAGTTCTTTAGCCTTTTTTTGACAGACGTATTCTTTTTTTTTTTTTTGAGACAGAGTCTTGCTCTGTTGCCACGTGCCAGGCTGGAGTGCAGAGGCATGATCTCAGCTCACTGCAGCCTCCGCCTCCCAGGTTCAAGCAATTATCCTGCCTCAGTCTCCCAAGTAGCTGGGACTACAGGCACACACCACCACACCTAGCTAATTTTTGTATATTTTAGTAGAGATGGAATTTCACCATGTTGGCCAGGATGGTCTCGATCTCTTGATCTCATGGTCCACCTGACTCAGCCTCCCCAAGTGCTGGGATTATAGGTGTGAGCCACCGCGTCCGGCCGGCAGACATATTCTTAACATACCACACATATACACACAGATACACAGAGGAATGAGCTCTGTTCTGCTGTAAGCAAGTAATGGTACTGCTAGCCAGTGAATAGTAGGTGATGTTAGAACAGGACTTTGTAACCCTGAACACACAGACCAGAGGAATACATTATTACCGTCCCAATTTTACATGTAAGGAAACTGACGCCCAGAACAGTTAAAATAAGCTGCCCAAAGTTACACTATCAGTAAAAGGTTATATGCTATTTATTAATAATAACCTTTGTGTGTAGCTTCTAGGGCAAAAAAATAATAACCTTTGTGTGTGTACAAAGGGTTTTGTGGTTACTGATTAGATATCAGGCCATTCTATAGAACAGGCAGGAGAGAGCATATCATCACCATCTTCATCATCCTTATCTTACCAATGACTAACCTCAAAGTGGTTAGTTCAGGCTGGCTTGTAAGTAAAGGAGCAGGGTTCAGGTCAGGTCTTTTAATATAACCCTTGCAGTGTCCCCTAAGGAACACTTGGAAGATTGAAGATCCAGCAATACCTTTCACTTCACAAGTGTTGGCTCTTCCAAATGGTCTCTGCTGGGTGAGAGAGAGAGGAGTCCTGACAGGCAGCAGTCTGGCAGAAGGTGGAGGAGACCTCTCTTCAAATCTCACCACAACCACAGAGCTCGTCCAATCCTGCTGTGCCCAGTGTGGCGGTGCCTTTCATAGGGCTGGCTGCACTCAGAATTAAGTCTTCCAGAGCATGGCCTGCTGTCGGCCAGGCAGTGGGACAGCAAAGCCAAGAAAGCACAGGGCATGTGTGACTGTGGACTAGCTGGCGATGCAGGAGGCAGGGTAGAGATGGCTTTAAAGACATTCTACTCTGAGACTCTGTTATCAAGCTAAAGGGAGCTTGCTGCCCAATGCACTAGAAGCCAATACTATGATACCAGGTTTGTTTGTTTGTTTGTTTGCTTGTTTGTTTGTTTGTTTTGAGACGGAGTTTCGCTCTTGTTACCCAGGCTGGAGTGCAATGGCGCGATCTCAGCTCACCGCAATCTCCACCTCCTGGGTTCAGGCAATTCTCCTGCCTCAGCCTCCCGAGTAGCTGGGATTACAGGCACGCGCCACCATGCCAAGCTAATTTTTTGTATTTTGAGTAGAGACGGGGTTTCACCATGTTGACCAGGATGGTCTCGATCTCTTGACCTCGTGATCCACCTGCCTCGGCCTCCCAAAGTGCTGGGATTACAGGCGTGAGCCACCATGCCCGGCCAATACCAGGTTTTGAGAGAAGAAAGCCTTCTTACTGGAAGTTAACTCACAAGGAGACAGGAGTGTCAAGCTCAAATCTGTCTCTCTGTGCTGGCTTCAAGGTGGTATTTTTATAGGAAAAAGTTCAGGGGGTGGATTTTGAGATTAGCAGGTGATTGGTGGATGAAAAGTGGAGGTCTGGAAAGTCTCTGGGCACGTGCAGTTGTCTCTTCATGGTACCTCATGGAACACATGTACAAATTCAAGGGGAGTTAGTATGAAACGTGGTGTAAATTCAGGCTGGTGATGTCAGCAAGCTGCTTCTGAACAGACTTGCACTGGCCACATTGATTCCAATTGATGCTAGTCACTTACTCTATCTCGTAATCGGAGAGAGTTTCAGTGTTTCAGCAAGTTGTTTCTTTTCTTATCTGCCGTCCTGCAAACTCAAGTACTCCTGTTAGTTACTGGTTTCTTTTAAGTTTTGAGGCACAGATTCATTTCCGACTTGACAGCCTCCTGGGTTAACGATAATAATCAGGGAAGACTTTTTCGTGAATAAGTGAGAAAATGCTGAATAAGTACCTAGCTCACAGTAGGTGTCTAAAAACCGAAGTGTTCCTTTCTCCCTTTCCACGGATTCCTCCTATTCTCATCATTTCAACTCAGTGTTTCTTTTATTGATACATAATAGATGTACATATTTTCAGAGTATGTGTGATAATTTGATACACTCACACAATCGAATCAAGGTTGATGAGGTAGCTATCATCTTTTTTTTCTACAACTTTGTTTTAAGTTCAGGGGTACACGTGCAGGTTTGTTACATGGGTAAACACGTGCTGTGTGGTTTGCTGCACAGATCATGTTATCACCTAGGTATTAAGCCCAGCATCCGTTAGCTGTTCTTGATGCTCTCCTTCCCCCACCTCCCACCCCCAACAAGCCCCAGTAGGTGTTGTTCCCCCACATGTGTCCTTGTCTTCTCATCATTCCGCTCCCACTTACAAGTGAGAACATGTGGTGTTTGATTTTCTGTTCCTATGTTAGTTTGCTGAGGATAACAGCTTCCAGCTCCATCCATGTCCCTGCAAAAGACATGATCTTGTTCCTTTTTATGGCTGAATAATATTCCATGGTGTACATGTACTACATTTTCTTTATCTAGTCTGATGGGCAGTTGGGTTGATTCCATATCTTTGTTATTGGGAATAGTGCTGCAATTAACATATGTGTGCATGTATCTTTATAATAGAATTATTTACATTCCTTTGGGTAATGGGATTGCTGGGTCAAATGGTACTTCTGCCTCTAGATCTTTGAGGAGTTTCTACACTGTCTTCTACAATGGTTGAACTAATTTACACAGGCGCTGACGGTGTAAAAGCATTTCCATTTCTCCACAAGCTCACCAGCATCTATTGCTTTTGGCTTTCTAGTAATTGCCATTCTGACTGGCATAGGATGGTATCTCAATGTGGTTTTGATTTGCATTTCTCTAATGACCAGTGATGTTGAGCTTTCTTTTCATGTGTTTGTTAGCTGGATTTGGTTTGCCAGCTGTATAAATGCCTGGATTTGGTTTGCCAGTATTTTTATTGAGGATTTCTGCATCAATGTTCATCAGGGATATTGGCCTGACGTTTTCTTTTTTGTGGTATCTCTGCCGGGTTTTGGTATCAGGATGATACCAGCCTCATAAAAAGAGTTAAGAAGGAGTCCCTCCTTTTTAATTGTTTAAAAGAGTTTCAGTAGAAATGGTACAGCTCTTTTGTATGGCTGGTAGAATTCAGCTTTGACTCTATCTGGTTCTGGGCTTTTCTTTGGTTGGTAGACTATTTATTACTGCCTCAATTTCAGAACTCATTGTTGGTCTATTCAAGGATTCAATTTCTTCCTGGTTCAGTTTTGGGAGGGTGTATGTGTCCTGGAATTTATCAATTTCCTTTAGATTTTCTAGTGTGTGCATAGAGGTGTTTATAGTATTGCTTATATTTCTGTGATTGTTTATATTTTTGTGGGGTCAGTGGTAATATCCCCCTTATCATTTCTAATTATGTTTATTGGATTCTTTTCTCTTTTATCCTTTATTAGTCTAGGTAATAGTCGATCTATTTGATTAATTTTTCAAAACACTACTTCCTGGATTCATTGATTTTTTTTTTTTTTTGAAGAGTTTTTCATGTCTCTTTCTCCTTCATTTAAACTCTGATCTTGGTTATTTCTTGTCTTCTGCTAGCTTTAGGGTTTGTTTGCTCTTGTTTCTCTAGTTCTTTTAGTTGTAATCTTAGGTTGTTAACTTGAGATCTTTCTAGTTTTTTGTTGTGGACATTTAGTGCAATAAATTTCCCTTTTAACACTGCTTTAGCTGCATCCCTGAGATTCTGGTACATTGTCTCTTGGTTCTTAATAGTTTCAAAGAACTTCTTGATTTCTGCCTAATTTTATTATTTACCCAGGAGTTATTTGGGACCAGGTTGTTCAATATAGTTTTATGGTTTTGAGTGTATTTCTTAATCTTGAGTTCTAATTTGATTTTGCTGTGGTCTGAGAGACTGTTATGATTCAGTTCTTTTGCACTTTCTGAAGGGTTTACTTCTGATTATGTGATAATTTTTAGATTAAGTGCCATGTGGTGATGAGAAAAATCTATATTCTATTGTTTTGGCCTGAAGAGTTCTTTAGATATCTATCATTTCCACTTGATCCAGCGCTGAGTTCCGGTGCTGAATATCTTTGTTAATTTTCTGTCTTGATGATCTGTCTACTATTAACAGTGGGGTCTTAAAATTTCCCACTATTATTGTGTGGATGTTCAGATCTCTTTGTTGGGCCCTAAACTTGCTTTACAAACCTGGATGCTCCTGTATTGGATGCATATATATTTAGGATAGTTATCTCTTCTTGTTGAATCAAACTCTTAACCATTATGTGATGTC